TTAAAGAGTTCTCTCCTGCTGATGTTCAGGTGTATATCAGTATGTAGTGTCTCTACTTTAAAGAGTCCTCTCCTGCTTATGTTCAGGAGTATATCAGTATGTAGTGTCTCTACTTTAAAGAGTCCTCTCCTGCTGATGTTCAGGTGTATATCAGTATGTAGTGTCTCTACTTTAAAGAGTCCTCTCCTGCTGATGTTCAGGTGTATATCAGTATGTAGTGTCTCTACTTTAAAGAGTCCTCTCCTGCTGATGTTCAGGTGTATATCAGTATGTAGTGTCTCTACTTAAAGAGTCCTCTCCTGCTTATGTTCAGGTGTATATCAGTATGTAGTGTCTCTACTTTAAAGAGTCCTCTCCAGCTGATGTTCAGGTGTATATCAGTATGTAGTGTCTCTACTTTAAAGAGTCCTCTCCTGCTTATGTTCTGGTGTATATCAGTATGCAGTGCATTTGTCAACCTGCTTAGAGATGTCCCGCCCTTTTGACCCCATTTACACGGGAGCGCAAACGCAAACGGACCGAATTCGTTATCAAAAAAGTCTTCCGTTCACACGCATTTGGCTCATTTAACGTGTGCGTTCACACGAGACCACTGGAAACGCTGTAGTACATATGCCGGGCCTGTAAGTGGCGCTGTACTTCTGCCACAAAATACACCAAAAGCAGCGAAGAAGACTCCCAAGCATGGTTGCCATGGTTGCCCTTCTGTTTATGCCCCGCGGTGGATTTAGCAACATGTAGTTCATGTAGTTCTCCAGGTCCACTTGTTGCTGATGGTTGTCGTAGAGGAGCTGTAGATTTTGCACTAACATCTATGGCTTCATCGTTATCAGGAAATGATCGTACAGGACGTACACACTGAGCCGGTTGACCCCCCAGAGCGTTCCGTTTGCAGATCTATCCACCTTGGGACCCGTTATCGTTTGCGGGGTCCGTTTCCGCGTTTCCGTTACGGCCTCGTGTGAACGAACGGGCTACACGAAAGAGAAAAGAAGCAGATACAACCCGTTTCGTTCTCGTGTAAACACCGCCTTAGTCTATCACGTACAATGTGTTGGAGCGCTAGCCAATAGGAGCACAAGTGTCCTATAGTGATGTCACTATGTTCCGGAAACAACAAATCCCCTAAATACTAATATGAACCCTTTTCCTTTCATATTGCTGTGCTCTTCAGGTTTCTATGTGACTCTGGTGGTGAATCGATGGTGGAATCAGTTTGTTAATCTTCCGTGGCCGGACCGCCTCATGTTCCTCATCTCCAGGTACAAACTCTCTGTAAGAAAATACACACTTTTAGTTATTTACAATATACATTTCCTGCCAGCGCAGCGTTCTGTATTGATTTTGGTGGATTGGTCTTTCTTGATCACGATGTTTTTGCTCCAAATGTGTTTTTTACCCGGCTTGATTTCTGTCGTGTCAAATGATCATATAATAATTTAAATCAGAATCAGAAACAGGTTTATCACCAGGTAGGTTGACACGTACGAGGAATTTGTGGTGCAAACATAAAAGAAAAAAAAGAAAATAATAATAATAATAATAATAATAATAATAATAATATATAATAATTATCGAACATTTCTCAAATACGTCCGAATCATTTTTCAGGATTTTTTCCCCAACATTTTCACATATTTTTCAAACATGTTTCACATATTTTGTGTTTTTTAAGGAAATGTTTTCTTCTTTTTTGAATCATTTTTCACAATTATCAATTTTTATTTTTTTATTTCCTCCGCCTTGTCTCCTTTAGCTGTGTTCAGGGTAAAGATGAATACGGCCGTCTGCTGCGTCGGACGTTGATTCGTTACGTGAACCTGACCTCGCTGCTGATCTTCCGCTCCGTCAGCACCGCCGTCTGCAAGCGCTTCCCCACCATGGAGCACGTGGTGGAGGCAGGTGAGAGTTTTATCTATTTTCTATAAAGAGGATGGATTAACTCGAGTTAAAGCCCTCAGACTGCCACTTCCCATTCTTCTATTAGACTTAACCAAATAATATCCAACAGCCTGACATTTTTGAAAAAATATATGAAAAATGTTGTAAAAAATGTCCTCAAAATGTGTGATTTTCTTAATTTATTTATTCCAAAAAAGTTCAGAAAAATTCCTTACAAATTTGGGAAAATGTTTGAAAATTATGTAAAAAATATTTGGATAATAAATCCTTAAAGGTAGGTTAGGTAAGTTTGAGAAACCGGCTCGAGATCGCTAGAATTTGAAAATACACAACCGGAGAAAATCTGCCACTTCCTTACAGAGCCCCTCCTCCAACACACACGAACGCGCACATGACCAATGAGGGCACGAGATAAGTTTGTGCACAGATGGAAGGCTGACAGGCAGGTAGGCCATCCAATCATTTTAGCCGGCCCGGCTAAAATGATTGGTCGTGCTTTTTACAGTACTACAGCTTCCACAGATGAAATTTTTTTATGGATTTTTTGTCAAAGCACTTCAGATATTCATTGCTATCGGGATGTTAAGAGCATTCCATGGAATATAACAAAAAGTGTATCTCGAGCCGGTTTCTCAAACTTACCTACCCCACCTTTAAGAAATCGAGAAAATATGTTTAAAAAACATTCCGAAAATATCAGGGTCTTAAAAAGTATTCAAAGTTGATAAATCAATTTAGCGAAAATTAAGGCTATTAAAAAGTATTAAACGGCATTTTCCAAGGTGTTACATGTTGTAGCTTGTTTTCAATAAGTATATAAATTGTCCAAAGAGGTTGTATTCTACAGTCTGCCTGAATGTAATCATTGCGTAGGTGTGTAGTGTGATTCTGTGTAGTTTATTTATGGCATCCCGTTGGGTTTGACGTCATCTGAACAGGACATCGCACGCTCACTGCTTGATAGCGCGCGAAGGTCCGTTTACGCCGGTTGTTAAACAACATTGTTATGGGGAAATGCAAGTCTGCGTCCAAATGGTTGGAAGATAAGGAGGAAGGACAATCAATACTGTATATAGTGAATGTGAGGTAAAGTGTGTCGCCATGGTAACCGGTTAAAACTCAAAGTGGCGATGAGGTCTTAAAATGTATGGAAAGGGTCTTAAAAAAGGTCTTAAAAGGTCTTACATTTGACTTCAGGATTCCTGCATATAGCCTGAAAATGTAAAAGAAATTCAAAAATCCTGTGAAAAATATAGAAAAAAATTGTCCTTACATTTTTTTTTAAAGTTTGAAAAATTTTCCGAAATTATTGGAACTTTTCTTTTAAAATTATGTGAAAATTGTCAAATATTAAAGAAAGTAACGAACTGATATAAGATTAAAAATTGTAGAAAAATGTGAAATTACTTTAACTAACTTAAAGGATCTGCATACTTCTTCCCCGCTGCATCAGATTTTGTTCTGTTGTCCCCGCAGGGTTCATGACTCCAGAGGAGAGGAAAGTGTACGAGAATATCCGCTCCCCTCACCTCAAATACTGGATCCCCGTGGTCTGGTTCTCTAATCTGGCCGTCAAAGCTCGAGAGGAAGGACGCATCAAGGACAGCATCGACCTGCAGCTGATTCATCAAGTGACTACACACTGTTTTATTATTATATATGCTGCTCCTGATTCATATTACTGCTGCATTATGTTGATGTTTGAAATACATAGTTCACATATATTTCACATTTATTTGCAGACATGTTTTTCATATTTTAATGACATTTTTCACAGATGTTTTGGACATTTTTACAGAAAATTACGGAATGTTCCACATATTATTCGGATATGTCTTCAGAAACTTCTTGGGACATTTTTCAAAGAATTTTAAGGAATATTTGACATATTTAATTTAATTTGAGAACATTTTCCACATATTTTCAAGAACATTTAAAGAATCTTTTTTGAATTTCTTGACACATTTCATGACATTTAAAATGTAATTTATATATAAGATTTTTTTAGCATATTTTAACAAAACTTGTTGTTAGAATTTTTTTTAAATGAACTTTTCTGAAATTTTATATGTTCTTTCCGACACTTTACACATATTTGATGGCCTTTTTTTAAACAAAAGTTTCATCATTTTTACAAACTTTCTGAAATGTTTCCGATTTAAAAGGACAATATTTTCCCCTGAGGCTTCCATTAAGCCGCATTAAATGTGAATACTCAAGTAAAGTACCTCAAAAGTGAAAGTACTTTCCATCCCCTGCTGCTCCTGTCTCATTAACTGATGAATAAATCCAGCAGAGACCAAATGGCCTTCAGCCCCACAGACATTTAAAGCCTCAGAGACAGTAATCTGTTGTTCTGTGATCACACACAGCTGACATGTTGGAACATGATGAGAGGGAGGGTCCGATCCTCCAATCAGAAACACTGAGTTTCCCACCAGTTAAGACACAAATAAGATGAAAACTTGACCTTATGATCGTTAAATCAATCTAAATGTTAAATAAATGACCTTAAGAGCAAATTAATGTACTTCAATATGCTTTACAAGCAAAGATTAGGACGTTTAAAGTAGGAAAACGTTTTATTTTAAGAATCTGGTTCAGTATTTTAGGATATTAAATCAGTATTTTGAGATATTATGTCTTTTTTTTAAATATAAGATAATATTTTGATAAACTAGGTCAGTATTTATGAAATAAAAAGTAGTTTTTTGAGATACTAAGTCATTATTTGAGATACTAAGTCATTATTTGAGATACTAAGTCATTATTCTGAGATACTAAGTCAGTATTTTGAGATACTAAGTCAGTATTATTTTGAGATACTAAGTCAGTATTCTGAGATACTAAGTCATTATTTGAGATACTAAGTCATTATTTGAGATTCTAAATCATTATTTGAGATACTAAGTCATTATTCTGAGATACTAAGTCATTATTTTGAGATACTAAGTCAGTATTTTGAGATACTAAGTGATTCTTTTGAGATACTAAGTCAGTATTCTGAGATACTAAGTGATTCTTTTGAGATAATAAGTCAGTATTCTGAGATACTAAGTGATTATTTTGAGATACTAAGTGATTATTCTGAGATACTAAGTCAGTATTCTGAGATACTAAGTGATTATTTTGAGATACTAAGTGATTATTCTGAGATACTAAGTCAGTATTCTGAGATACTAAGTCAGTATTCTGAGATACTAAGTGATTCTTTTGAGATACTAAGTCAGTATTCTGAGATACTAAGTGATTATTCTGAGATACTAAGTGATTATTCTGAGATACTAAGTCAGTATTCTGAGATACTAAGTGATTATTTTGAGATACTAAGTGATTATTCTGAGATACTAAGTCATTATTTTGAGATACTAAGTCAGTATTCTGAGATACTAAGTGATTATTTTGAGATACTAAGTCATTATTCTAAGATACTAAGTCAGTATTCTTTTGAGATACTAAGTCAGTATTCTGAGATACTAAGTGATTATTCTGAGATACTAAGTGATTATTTTGAGATACTAAGTGATTATTCTGAGATACTAAGTCAGTATTCTGAGATACTAAGTGATTATTTTGAGATACTAAGGGATTATTCTGAGATACTAAGTCATTATTTTGAGATACTAAGTCAGTATTCTGAGATACTAAGTGATTATTTTGAGATACTAAGTCATTATTATGAGATACTAAGTCAGTATTCTGAGATACTAAGTGATTATTTTGAGATACTAAGTCATTATTCTAAGATACTAAGTCAGTATTCTTTTGAGATACTAAGTCAGTATTCTGAGATACTAAGTGATTATTTTGAGATACTAAGTCATTATTCTGAGATACTAAGTCATTATTCTGAGATACTAAGTCATTATTCTGAGATACTAAGTCATTATTTTGAGATACTAAGTCATTATTCTGAGATACTAAGTCATTATTTTGAGATACTAAGTCATTATTCGGAGATACTAAGTCAGTATTTTGAGATACTTGAGATATTTTTACAAACCTAAGATAATATTTTGATAAACCAAGTCAGTATTTTTGGGGATACTAACTCATTTTTCACCAATATAACTCATCATTTGTCTCCCTCCCACTGTTATAAATGCACTTCCTGTTGTAAACCTTGTGTTTCAGGAGATGAACGTGTTCAGGACTTGGTGTGCGACGCTGTTCGGATACGACTGGGTCGGCATCCCACTCGTCTACACTCAGGTCTCTCTCTATTATAACATCCATCCGTCTCTATGAGTGGTTTAGAGCGGATGCAGCTCATGAGATTAAAGTCATCATCATCATCATCATCACTGTAACTGGATCTCAGAGAGAGAGGAAGAGGAAGTTCAGAGAAGAGCAGCTTCAGCCCTCAGATCATCAGACTGATAAACACCTGAACTCTTAAAAGAACATATATTAAAGGGGACCTATCATGCAAAATGCACTTTGTGATGTCTTTTCTACATCAACATGTGTCCCCGGTGTGTCAGGGAACTCACGCAGCATCAGAAAATAAAACCCTCTCTCTTTTCCTCCGTACCCAAATCTCTAAAAACGGGGGAACAACGGAGCTGATCCAGATTTGTGTCCGATATGACGTAATATCTGAAATGTGGACCCACGGCCCTATCAGAAACGTTGCTATCAGAAACAATGCCCGACTGTTTTGGGCGTAATATGGTCGGTGTTTACATTAGCATCGCTAACACTCAGAGCTAACCTGCACTGGAGAGCATGTGTGTGAAGAAGCAGGAAATAAAAAGGAACTCACCTTGTGGTATAACCGGCAAGAGAGAAAGCCTTTGAGCTCCATACTGTTTCAGAAAGAATCCTTGATAATCCATGATATGGCGTTTCATCACCGCAGTATTTAGTTTAGACAGTAGCTGCCGGGTCCCGCATGAGCTCAGACCCCTCCTTTTTTAAAGCTTTATACCCCAAATCTCCATCTAACATCAGAAAGCTGAAAATGTCTGAGCATTTCTGTTTTTTTTTGTTACAAATTCCCTGATTCTGGTCAAATATAGTTCAAAATAAGTTTCCCCAGCTAAATACAAGATCTCATTTATCTAATTATCCCATCTTTACTTCAAGACATCTTACCAAGAACATTTTAACTTGTTCAATTGGTAGATTTTGTGCTTATTTCAAGAGAAAACAGCTTGATTTTATTATTGTTAAACTTGTTAGACTATTCTTGCACTATTTATATTCTATTTTATTTGTATTTTTTGCACTATTGTATCTGTGTTATTGTGTTGCTCTGTTGGAGGAGCCTCAGATCTTCATATCTCCACTGTAGCTACATGACAATAAAAGCTTTGAATCTTGAAGTCTTGAATCTTGAATCTTTATACTCTCTCTTCAGGTCGTCACCCTCGCCGTCTACACGTTCTTCTTCGCCTGTCTGATTGGTCGTCAGTTCCTGGACCCGGCGCAGGGTCACCAGGGGCACGACCTCGACATCTACGTCCCCATCTTCACGCTGCTGCAGTTCTTCTTCTACTCCGGCTGGCTCAAGGTAAACAAGATATTTGATGTATTTCTTTATCAACAAGTCTTTATTTAAAGGTCACCTCTTCTTCATGTCTCTTCTTCATCAACATGTGTCCCCTCTTCTTCATGTCTCTTCTTCATCAACATGTGTCCCCTCTTCTTCATGTCTCTTCTTCATCAACATGTGTCCCCTCTTCTTCATGTCTCTTCTTCATCAACATGTGTCCCCTCTTCCTCATGTCTCTTCTACATCAACATGTGTCCCCTCTTCTTCATGTCTCTTCTACATCAACACGTGTCCCCTCTTCTTCATGTCTCTTCTTCATCAACATGTGTCCCCTCTTCTTCATGTCTCTTCTACATCAACATGTGTCCCCTCTTCTTCATGTCTCTTCTACATCAACATGTGTCCCCTCTTCTTCATGTCTCCTCTTCATCAACATGTGTCCCCTCTTCTTCATGTCTCTTCTACATCAACATGTGTCCCCTCTTCTTCATGTCTCTTCTACATCAACATGTGTCACCTCTTCTTCATCTCTCTTCTTCATCAACACGTGTCCCCTCTTCTTCATGTCTCTTCTTCATCAACATGTGTCCCCTCTTCTTCATGTCTCTTCTACATCAACATGTGTCCCCTCTTCTTCATGTCTCTTCTACATCAACATGTGTCCCCTCTTCTTCATGTCTCCTCTTCATCAACATGTGTCCCCTCTTCTTCATGTCTCTTCTACATCAACATGTGTCCCCTCTTCTTCATGTCTCTTCTACATCAACATGTGTCCCCTCTTCTTCATGTCTCTTCTACATCAACATGTGTCCCCTCTTCTTCATGTCTCTTCTTCATCAACATGTGTCCCCCTCTTCTTCATGTCTCTTCTACATCAACATGTGTCCCCTCTTCTTCATGTCTCTTCTTCATCAACATGTGTCCCCTCTTCTTCATGTCTCTTCTTCATCAACATGTGTCCCCTCTTCATCATGTCTCTTCTTCATCAACATGTGTCCCCTCTTCTTCATGTCTCTTCTTCATCAACATGTGTCCCCTCTTCATCATGTCTCTTCTTCATCAACATGTGTCCCCTCTTCTTCATGTCTCTTCTTCATCAACATGTGTCCCCTCTTCTTCATGTCTCTTCTTCATCAACATGTGTCCCTCTTCATGTCTCTTCTTCATCACATGTGGCCCCCTCTTCTTCATGTCTCTCTTCATCAACATGTGGTCCCCTCTTCTTCATGCTCTTCTTCATCAAGCATGGGTCCCCCTCTTCTTCATGTCTCTTCTTCATCACATGTGTCCCCTCTTCTTCATGTCTCTTCTACATCAACATGTGGTCCCCTCTGCTCATGTCTCATGTCTCTTCTTCATTCCTCAACATGTGTCCCCTCTTCTTCATGTCTCTTCTTCATCAACATGTGTCCCCTCTTCTTCATGTCTCTTCTACATCAACATGTGTCCCCTCTTCTTCATGTCTCTTCTTACATCAACATGTGTCCCCTCTTCTTCATGTCTCTTCTTCATCAACATGTGTCCCCCTCTTCTTCATGTCTCTTCTACATCAACATGTGTCCCCTCTTCTTCATGTCTCTTCTTCATCAACATGTGTCCCCTCTTCTTCATGTCTCTTCTTACATCAACATGTGTCCCCTCTTCTTCATGTCTCTTCTTCATCAACATGTGTCCCCTCTTCTTCATGTCTCTTCTTACATCAACATGTGTCCCCTCTTCTTCATGTCTCTTCTTCATCAACATGTGTCCCCTCTTCTTCATGTCTCTTCTACAATCAACATGTGTCCCCTCTTCTTCATGTCTCTTCTTCATCAACATGTGTCCCCTCTCTTCATGTCTCTATCTTACATCAACATGTGTCCCCTCTTCTTCATGTCTCTTCTACATCAACATGTGTCCCCTCTTCTTCATGTCTCTTCTTCAATCAAACATGTGTCCCCCTCTTCTTCATGTCTCTTCTTAACATCAACATGTGTCCCCTCTTCTTCATGTCTCTTCTTCATCAACATGTGTCCCCTCTTCTTCATGTCTCTTTCTTCATCAACATGTGTCCCCTCTTCTTCATGTCTCTTCTACATCAACATGTGTCCCCTCTTCTTCATGTCTCTTCTTCATCAACATGTGTCCCCTCTTCTTCATGTCTCTACTACATCAACATGTCGTCCCCATCTTCTTCATGTCTCTTCTTCATCAACATGTGTCCCCTCTTCTTCATGTCTCTCTTCATCAACATGTGTCCCCTCTTCTTCATGTCTCCTTCTACATCAACATGTGTCCCCTCTTCTTCATGTCTCTTCTTCATCAACATGTGTCCCCTCTTCTTCATGTCTCTTTCATCACATGTGTCCCCTCCTTTCTTCATGTCTCTTCTTCATCAACAGTGTCCCCTCTTCTCCTGTCTCTTCTCATCAACATGGGTTCCCCTCTTCCTTCATGTCTCTTCTTCATCAACATGGTCCCCTCTTCTTCATGTCTCTTCTACATCAACATGTGTCCCCTCTTCTCATGTCTCTTTTACATCAACATGGTCCCCCTCTCCTTCATGTCTTCCTCTTCATCAACATGTGTCCCCTCTTCTCTTCATGTCTCTTCTACATCAACATGTGTCCCCTCTTCTTCATGTCTCTTCTCATCAACATGTGTCCCCTCTTCTTCATGTCTCTTCTACATCAACATGTGTCCCCTCTTCTTCATGTCTCTTCTTCATCAACATGTGTCCCCTCTTCTTCATGTCTCTTCTACATCAACTGTGTCCCCTCTTCTTCATGTCTCTTCTTCATAACATGTGTCCCCTCTTCTTCATTCTTTCTTCATCAACATGTGTCCCCTCTTCATCATGTCTCTCTTTCATCAACATGTGTCCCCTCTTCTTCATGTCTTCTTCATCAACAGTGTCCCCCTCTTCATCATGTCTCTTCTTCATCAAACATGTGTCCCCTCTTCTTCATGTCTCTTCTTCATCAACATGTGTCCCCTCTTCTTCATGTCTCTTCTTCATCAACATTGTCCCCTCTTCCTCATGTTCTTCTTCATCAACATGTGTCCCCTCTTTTCATGTCTCTTCTTCATCAGCATGTGTCCCCCTCTTCTTCATGTCTCTTCTCATCAACATGTGTCCCCTCTTCTTCATGTCTCTTCTACATCAAAATGTGTCCCCTCTTCTTCATGTCTCTTCTTCATCAACATGTGTCCCCTCTTCTTTCATGTCTCTTCTTCATCAACATGTGTCCCCTCTTCTTCCATGTCTCTTCTACATCAACATGTGTCCCCCTCTTCTTATGTCTCTTCTTCATCAACATTGTACCCTCTTCTTCATGTCTCTTCTTCATTCAAAATGTGTCCCCTCTTCTTCATGTCTCTTCTACATCAACATGTGTCCCCTCTTCTTCATGTCTCTTCTTCATCAACACTGTGTCCCCTCTTCTTCATGTCTCTTCTACATCAACATGCTGTCCCCCTCTTCTTCCATGTCTCTTCTACATCAACATGTGTTCCCCTCTTCTTCATGTCTCTTCTTCATCAACATGTGTCCCCCTCTTCTTCATGTCTCTTCTTCATCAACATGTGTCCCCTCTTCTTCATGTCTCTTCTACATCAACATGTGTCCCCTCTTCTTCATGTCTCTTCTTCATCAACATGTGTCCCCTCTTCTTCATGTCTCTACTACATCAACATGTGTCCCCTCTTCTTCATGTCTCTTCTTCATCAACATGTGTCCCCTCTTCTTCATGTCTCTTCTTCATCAACATGTGTCCCCCTCTTCTTCATGTCTTCTTCTACATCAACATGTGTCCCCCTTCTTCTTCATGTCTCTCTTCTTCATCAACATGTGTCCACTCTTCTTCATGTCTCTTCTTCATCAACATGTGTCCCCTCTTCTTCATGTCTCTTCTTCATCAACATGTGTCCCTCTCTTCTTCATGTCTCTTCTTCATCAAACATGTGTCCCTCTTTCTTCATGTCTCTTCTACATCAACATGTGTCCCCTCTTCTTCATGTCTCTTCTTCATCAACATGTGTCCCCTCCTTCTTCATGTCTCTACTACATCAACATGTGTCCCCTCTTCTTATGTCTCTTCTTCATCAACATGTGTCCCCTCTTCTTCATGTCTCTTCTTCATCAACATGTGTCCCCTCTTCTTCATGTCTCTTCTACATCAACATGTGTCCCCTCTTCTTCATGTCTCTTCTTCATCAACATGTGTCCCCTCTTCTTCATGTCTCTTCTTCATCAACATGTGTCCCCTCTTCTTCATGTCTCTTCTTCATCAACATGTGTCCCCTCTTCTCCATGTCTCTTCTTCATCAACATGTGTCCCCTCTTCTTCATGTCTCTTCTTCATCAACATGTGTCCCCTCTTCTTCATGTCTCTTCTTCATCAACATGTGTCCCCTCTGTCTAAAGAGACTCTGAAAGTTTCAGGAACAAAGATTCTCTCTCTTTTTGATCCATTTCTATAAAAACCTGTCTGAAAATGAGCTGATCAGATTTTGGCCACTTTATGATGTCATAACGATGTTTTGTCTTGTGTAACCATTAGCCAATCAGCAACCAAGGTAACCCCCCCCCCCCCACCTTATCACCTGAATCTCCTCCTAGAGCACCATTGAGTTCTTTTTAACCAAATCTCTCTCAGAGGGGCGTGGGGAGGGGCTCCTTATTTTCATCTAAAGTAACAGACAGAGAATCAGCACTGAAACAGAGGGGATTATGGGTAATGCTGCAATGATCTGTTTGGTGTTTCAGCCAATCAGAGACATGCTCTGGATATATCTGAGACCTGTGATATATTGATGAGAAACAGTAGAATAGGAGACCTTTAATTTATGTTGTGTCTCGTCCTCAGGTAGCGGAGCAGCTGATCAACCCGTTTGGAGAGGACGACGACGACTTTGAAGCGAACTGGATCATCGACAGGAACCTTCAGGTGAGCAGCCAATCACCGCGAAAACAATTGGAAACCACAATCAAATCCTTTCCTTCACTTCCTGTCTACCTGTCCTCCAGGTGTCCCTGCTGGCTGTAGACGAGATGCACATGAACCTGCCTCACATGACCAAAGATATCTACTGGAACGACTCTGAGGCTCAACCTCCGTACACACTGGCAGCCGCCGACTACTGCATCCCCTCCTTCCTGGGATCCACCACCGACATGGGGTCAACACACACACACACACACACACACACACACACACACACACACACACACACACACACACACACAGGGACAGTGCACATCGATGAACACTTTAAAACAAAACAATGCTTACAAGCGTAAATGAGCCGGATTTTAGCTTCAAGCTAATTTCCATCCGCAGTCCCCTCACATGCAACATACAAGAACATGACATTTATATACATAGCAAAAATAAATACATGACATGCAGAAAGAGCAGGTATTTGTGTTCAACATGTAAGAAGTAGAAAGTACAGGTATTTGTGTTCAACATGTAAGAAGTAGAAAGTACAGGTATTTGGGTTCAACATGTAAGAAGTAGAAAGTACAGGTATTTGTGTTCAACATGTAAGAAGTAGAAAGTACAGGTATTTGTGTTTCAACATGTAAGAAGTAGAAAGTACAGGTATTTGGGTTCAACATGTAAGAAGTAGAAAGTACAGGTATTTGTGTTCAACATGTACGAAGTAGAGAAAGTACAGGTATTTGGGTTCAACATGTAAGAAGTAGAAAGTACAGGTATTTGTGTTCAACATGTAAGAAGTAGAAAGTACAGGTATTTGTGTTCAACATGTAAGAAGTAGAAAGTACAGGTATTTGGGTTCAAATGTAAGAAGTAGAAAGTACAGGTATTTGTGTTCAACATGTGAGAAGTAGAAGTAAAGTACAGGTATTTGGGTTCAACATGTAAGAAGTAGAAAGTAAAAAGTGGTCAGAAAACTAAGTAGTGAGTAGTAAAGTACTGATACCAGAAACATGTACTTAAGTACAGTAACAAAGTATTTGTACTCCACTACTTCCCACCTCTGGTAAATGTATATCTAAATGTTAAAAGCTCTCGTCCCTTTTCTCTTCCAGACTCTCTGATATCCTGCAGGTTGACGAGTCTGAAGTTTCCGACAAACGACAACAAGACCCGGTGTTGGTTTGGCACCAAAAGTCGGTAAGACTACTTTTTATTGTTACCGTTTGATATGTTTTCGGTTCAGTTTGTCTTTTAATCAGCATGATTGGCGAAAGACTCAGAACCATTGCACACATTCTGCAAATGCAACCAAATGTAAATGATAAATGTTGATAAAGGTTGGGATATATACACATTTTATACAATGTGGTGATTTGATTTGATTTATTTAGAATGTGTAAAACAATAATAAAAAAATGTAACATGAGAATTATTATACAATACAAAATTAATCAGTGTCAAATTGATATACAAAAATATTACTGATTCTAAATTATGTATAAACAAATAAACAAATGATCTACTAATTAATTACACATCCGAAAAGGAAGAAGTTTACACTTATTTAATCCCACCCCTTCTCCCAAAAACTACATTACTAACATTTATATATCTTTTTTTTTCTTAAAGAAATACATTTGTTATTGAAAAACTAAAAAACAAAACAAAAACATAAAAAATAAATAAACAGATAAATAAACAAACAAACAAATAAACAAACAAATAAGCAGATAAATAAACAAACAAATAAACAGATAAATAAACAAACAAACAAACAGATAAATAAACAGTACCGAAGGAGTGGCAGACCGGGGTGGTGGTTCCCCTTTTCATCAGAGGGTGTGTGCCATCACACTACTCAGCCTCCCCGGGAAAGTTTACTCTACGGCCCCGGCCACACGAGGACGATAACGGTCGTATCTGCTACAGTTCACTATCAGATAGACGGTTCGGCCACACGAGGCCGACACGGAAACGCAGAAAATGATAACGATAACGATAACGGGTCCCAAGGTAGATCTGCAAACAAAACGCTCTGGGGGCCAAACGGCTCCGTGTTTATGCCTATAAATCATTTCCTGATAACGTTGAAGCAATAGCCTCTCCCACCTCTCCTGCTCAGTGATCAGCGGCTGGGCTGTCAGGAGAGGGGGAGGAAAAGAGAGGCTCCGTTTTTTATTCTTATATATTATTATATATCTATTATATAGAGTCGTTATCAATTTGTTTTAAAGCTCAATAAATAACAAAGAAGACCTCTGACCGACACTTTTCTAATTTTGTCCGGAAGATTTAAACTTTAACGGACATCTTGACCGGCGAAAAAAAATCTAACTGAAACTCTGCCGCACGGTCCCCTCGTTCCTTGGAAAAGGCGGAGAGGTGGGTGTTTGTCATCTGCTGGTGGACTAACCGGGGAGGGAGAAAGAAAGCCACAGCGGAGAATAAACAGAAAGGTAACCATGGTAACTATGCGCGGGAAGTCTTCTTCGCTGCTTTTGTGGCAGACTACAGCGCCACTTACAGGCCTGGCATATGAACTACAGCGTCTCCAGCGCTTTCGAGCGGTCTCGTGTGAACGGACACGTTTCTGGTGCCTGTTGCGTGTGGACGGAAGACTTTTTTGATAACGATTGCGGTCCGTTTGCGTTATCATCCTCGTGTGGCTCCAGCCTAAGGTACTCGAAAGGAGGGTCAGGCCGATTGTCGAACCTCAGATTGAGGAGGAACAATGCGGATTCCGTCCTGGTCGTGGAACGACGGATCAGCTTTTTACTCTCGCAAGGATCCTGGAGGGGGCCTGGGAGTACGCTGAGGGCCTAAGATATTCTACAAAATAATATTTTAAAACATTTAAAAAAAATGTTTTTTTTTTATATATTTAAAAAATATATGTTTTTAGTTATATTTTTCATTAGTTTTACCAAAATAACTTGATTTAATTGTATTTAAAATAAAATTTCCAAAGAAATAAATCCTTCGAATCTGCCTGTTCAGTCTCTGTTGAATGTGAAGGGTTACATGAAAGAAGCTCGTCTGGCCCTCTCTGCGATTCACAGAGGGCCAGCTATAGTAACTGAACGAGAGAGTAATGTCAAATGACAGTACAATTGACCAATCATATCTTCCTTCTAAATGGGTGGGTTTTATTATCGCGGACTTTATGACAAGTTCCGCCCGCTGTGAAACTTTTCTTGTTTCCATAGCAACAACAACTTCCTGTCAACAGCGTAAACTCGCCTTCAAAATAAAAGCATGCCAAATTACACTTAAGACATACAACTGCAACGAAAGTAACAAACACAATGCAATATCATTTTCAATGTCAAAGAACACAAATTGGGTTCACAGGTGTTGTTCTGTGTGGTAGAGGGTCGCTGTCATTGATACGTTTTGCACCCCGGGCCGTTGTTTTGATATTCCGCTGAAGTATACGCTGTGACGTAATAACTATTTTTTTTTTTTTTTTTTCGAGGGAAAGGGTGGGGGTCAGAGGGCCTAGGTATAAAAGTCACGGCTCGCCACTACTTGTAATATTTCAGGTTCTGGGTCGAGTGCGCCGGCTGCTGAGCGTTCAGGAGCCTCCAGATCTTCCTCTTTCTCGACCTGCGTTTCAAACGACACAGCAGTGACGCCACAGGAATCTTCTTCCCAGACTTCAGGTGCAGTTTGGCTCAATTCAGAGTGATAAACATATCCAAATGGGCCTATTATTGTATGACAGTTGAAGTGTGATTAGGCAACAAGGTGTCTGTTGGGAAAATAGTGAAAGTACTCTTCCAGTATCAGAGTAACATGATAACAAAGGTATCCCAACTGTAGCTGTGTACGTGACAGGATGTATGATTACCTAGAAGAGCATCAGGACTGTTTTTGGCTGATAGCTATATAAAATTCAGAATTTTTAGATTTTGAGAAAAAGTCCGAATTTTGAGAAAAAGTCTGAATTTTGAGATTTTGAGAAAAAGTCTGAATTTTGAGAAAAAGTCTGAATTTTGAGATTTTGAGAAAAAGTCCGAATTTTGAGAAAAAGTCTGAATTTTGAGATTTTGAGAAAAAGTCCGAATTTTGAGAAAAAGTCCGAATTTTGAGAAAAAGTCCGAATTTTGAGAAAAAGTCTGAATTTTGAGAAAAAGTCTGAATTTTGAGAAAAAGTCTGAATTTTGAGATTTTTAGGGGAATTAATCAGAATTTTGAAATTTTGAGGGTAGATTTTACTTAAGTACATTTCAAAGCCCATACTTCTTTACTTTTAATTGAGTACAGAAGTTTAGTCAGTACTTCTACTTTTACCAGAGTATTTTTTAAACACGAGTATCTGTACTTCTACTTGAGTAAAGGATGTGTGTACTTGTGCCATCTCTGACTGATGCTAACATTGGATCATCTATTCTTACCATCCAGGGTCAATTCTCGTCCAGACAACATGGGTCTCCCCTCCCCCAACATGGACACCCTCTCCACTTTAAGGGAGGTCAGCAGTAACCCTCCCTCCCCTGAAAGCCCCCCCTCAGCGGTTTTCCCTCGACTCGTCGTCAGTCCACCGTTTTCCGGAGACGCCGGTCAAAACTTTGAAGCAGCAAAACCTCACAATGGACTGGCTCCGTCGCCCAGTGAGGAGGCACTGGGCCTCGAGACCCCGAGGTAAATACATCAGAGTTAACACTTTCCACACATTGATAGTCCAACACTGACTATAACGAAACCATTCTGACGCTGTTTCGAGATGATAGGATTACCAAGACGTCGAGCAACAACAATTGGTCTTACATTTGGTGATTTAGCTTCTCTCAAATGTTATAACCATTGCTTAACAATTATTTAAAGGCAGAATGAGTTGGATATTACAAAAACAATAGACATATAGATATACAAAACAACCATTAATTGAAACGTAAGACCAGGTAGCTGATCGTAGGAATGCATTGAAGAGAAAGATATGAAAATGGCAGACAAGACGCACATATAGCAAGGTGAAATGCGTAGCGGACAAAACTCAATCCAACACGAGAGGATCAATCAATCAAACAATCAAATGTTGACACCTGCTGTCCTTAGACCCTTGCAGAGGACAGGCAAAAACTCGCCAAATATAACCCCCCATTGACAGGAGAAAACATAATGAATCTGGGGTTTTACCGGCTTGTAAGCAATCTAACATTAACGGCAGTCACTTTGTGTTTTCAGGACCAGCTCTTCCGTCTGTTGCTCCCCCACCCAGCTGGGACCAAAGGAGTTTCGTTGGACGCACCACCCTCCCTCCAGACCTCGGGGGCGGCAGTTCTCGCTCCAGTTCTCCAGGCAGTCGTCCAAAGCGTCCGTCCGAAGCTTACCGAGCCCCAAAGGTCTGGGGAGGAGGAAACGAACGCTGGCTCGTTTCCAATCCCGACGATCCCCAGCGGACACTTTACAGCTTCCAGACCAAGAGCCAGACCCCGAGTACGACAACGACTTCCAGGGACTCGCAGGGACTGAAGACTACGAGAAGGAAGAGACCGATGACAGCGAAGAGATAAAAAAACAGGACTCCTAATTGCAGAGCTTGGGAAATCATTAGAAACCACTCACACGGAAACATACTACTTCCAACACAGAGCCAATCTCCATGCTCGTTACGTCATTAACACACACACACACACACACACACACACACACACACACACACACACACACACACACACACACACACACACACACACACACACACACACACACACACACACACACACACACACACACAAACTTCCCTATCAAATCTAAATGGTCAATTTCAGAGATGGCAAAAGTACACACATCCTTTACTCAAGTAGAAGTACAGATACTGGTGTTTAAAAATACTCTGGTGAAAGTAGAAGTACTTACTAAACTTCTTTACTCAAGTAAAAGTAAAGAGGCTTTGAAATGTACTTCAGTAAAAAGTACCCATAACTAGCAGCTGTTTTAAAGAGTACCTGACCTCCCTTTATATTAATAGAACAATAATGTCATTGTTAGCTAATGAATGTTTCCATGCTGAACAACGGCAACATGACAACGTTTTCATTGGTCCCTCTTCTTTAGAGAAGACCAGGAAATGATGGATACACGGATCGTGTTCAAATCAATAGGCACGCAATGACTCTAAATAATAATGATCACGCCACCAAACACACATTCAAACTAAAGGAACCAGCCTGTTTGGGAAATGTGAGAAGTAGAAAGTACAGGTATTTGTGTTCAACATGTAAGAAGTAGAAAGTACAGGTATTTGTGTTCAACATGTAAGAAGTAGAAAGTACAGGTATTTGTGTTCAACATGTAAGAAGTAGAAAGTACAGGTATTTGGGTTCAACATGTAAGAAGTAGAAAGTACAGGTATTTGTGTTCAACATGTAAGAAGTAGAAAGTACAGGTATTTGTGTTCAACATGTAAGAAGTAGAAAGTACAGGTATTTGTGTTCAACATGTAAGAAGTAGAAAGTACAGGTATTTGGGTTCAAAATGTAAGAAGTCAAAGTCAAAAGTCGTCAGAAAAACAAGTAGTGGAGTAAAGTACTGATACCAGAAAAATGTACTTAAGTACAGTAACGAAGTATTTGTTCTCCACTACTTCCCACCTCCGATGGAGACAAACCTTAACCCTAAAATGCTACATCAAAGAACACAAAAACATACAAGATAATCCTAATACTGGTAAGAAAATATGAGAAAAATACCTTCCATTCAAGAAAAATGTGTTATTTTTGCCTTAATAATCTATTTATGGTAGTTCAACCCAACAAACATAAGACGAACTGAACTCTTTACGATTAGCTGAACCTGTTGAGGAATAACTGTGTTGTTGACTATCAAGGAAAGTTTGAGGTTTTCCCATTCAGTTCAATGCAGTCAGTGTTTTCTTGAATACCACCTGGTGGCCATTGGAGAAACTACAGCTTTGGCTCCAAAATGTGGTGACTGCCGTTTAGATACAAGTACTCAGGATTATTAACTGGACTCTGAAGGTTTCTTGAATCTTTGTAGCACAAACTTTTCTGTTAATGTTATAACAATTTGTCTGCTTTTTTTGTATGTGACTTTAGAATATGTGTTTCTGCTGCTAAAAACCCCAAAACTGTACTTTAAAACCAAAAATTAAGAATGGTGTCACAAAGTTTTTAGATTTTTCCTCATTTATAAATCGAATGAAAATAATTTAAAAACAAAAGCTTGAATCCTGGACTTTCACCAAATAAGTGGGGGGACAAGAAACGAAGAACAATAGAAGAGCGGTGGTAATGATGGCGGCTCGCTCTGTTTTTTATTTTGATTCCAAGTTTTAAATCATCTTAAAGGTCCCCTATTATCCTCTTCTTCATCAATATATTACAGGTCTCAGATATATCCAGAGCCTGTCTCTGATTGGCTGAAACACCAAACAGATCATTGCAGCATTACCCATAATCCCCTCTGTTTCAGCCCTGTTTCCAAAGTGCTGATTCTCTGTCTGTTACTTTAGATGAAAATAAGGAGCCCCTCCCCACGCCCCTCTGAGAGAGATTTGGTTACAAAGAACTCAATGGTGCTCTAGGAGGAGATTCAGGTGATAAGGTGGGGGGGGTTACCTTGGTTGCTGATTGGCTAATGGTTACACAAGACAACACATCGTGACATCACAAAGTGTCCAAAATCTGATCAGCTCATTTTCAGACAGGTTTTTATAGAAATGGATCAGGACAAAAAGAGAGAGAATCTTTGTTCCTGAAACTTTCAGAGTCTCTTTACACAGAGGGGACACATGTTGATGAAGAAGAGACATGAAGAAGAGGGGACACATGTTGATGTAGAAGAGACATGAAGAAGAGGGGACACATGGTGATGTAGAAGAGACATGAAGAAGAGGGGACACATGTTGATGAAGAAGAGACATGAAGAAGAGGGGACACATGTTGATGTAGAAGAGACATGAAGAAGAGGGGACACATGTTGATGTAGAAGAGACATGAAGAAGAGGGGACACATGTTGATGTAGAAGAGACATGAAGAAGAGGGGACACATGTTGATGTAGAAGAGACATGAAGAAGAGGGGACACATGTTGATGTAGAAGAGACATGAAGAAGAGGGGACACATGTTGATGTAGAAGAGACATGAAGAAGAGGGGACACATGGTGATGTAGAAGAGACATGAAGAAGAGGGGACACATGTTGATGAAGAAGAGACATGAAGAAGAGGGGACACATGTTGATGTAGAAGAGACATGAAGAAGAGGGGACACATGTTGATGTAGAAGAGACATGAAGAAGAGGGGACACATGTTGATGTAGAAGAGACATGAAGAAGAGGGGGACACATGTTGATGTAGAAGAGACATGAAGAAGAGGGGACACATGTTGATGAAGAAGAGACATGAAGAAGAGGGGACACATGTTGATGTAGAAGAGACATGAAGAAGAGGGGACACATGTTGATGAAGAAGAGACATGAAGAAGAGGGGACACATGTTGATGTAGAAGAGACATGAAGAAGAGGGGACACATGTTGATGAAGAAGAGACATGAAGAAGAGGGGACACATGTTGATGTAGAAGAGACATGAAGAAGAGGGGACACATGTTGATGTAGAAGAGACATGAAGAAGAGGGGACACATGTTGATGAAGAAGAGACATGAAGAAGAGGGGACACATGTTGATGTAAGAAGAGACATGAAGAAGAGGGGACACATGTTGATGTAGAAGAGACATGAAGAGGGGGACACATGTTGATGTAGAAAGACATGAAGAAGAGGGGACACATGTTGATGAAGAAGAGACATGAAGAAGAGGGGACACATGTTGATGTAGAAGAGACATGAAGAAGAGGGGACACATGTTGATGAAGAAGAGACATGAAGAAGAGGGGACACATGTTGATGTAGAAGAGACATGAAGAAGAGGGGACACATGTTGATGTAGAAGAGACATGAAGAAGAGGGGGACACATGTTGATGTAGAAGAGACATGAAGAAGAGGGGACACATGTTGATGTAGAAGAGACATGAAGAAGAGGGGACACATGTTGATGAAGAAGAGACATGAAGAAGAGGGGACACATGTTGATGTAGAAGAGACATGAAGAAGAGGGGACACATGTTGATGTAGAAGAGGACATGAAGAAGAGGGGACACATGTTGATGAAAGAAGAGACATGAAGAAGAGGGGACACATGTGATGTAGAAGAGACATGAAGAAGAGGGGACACATGTTGATGAAGAAGAGACATGAAGAAGAGGGGACACATGTTGATGTAGAAGAGACATGAAGAAGAGGGGACACATGTTGATGTAGAAGAGACATGAAGAAGAGGGGACACATGTTGATGTAGAAGAGACATGAAGAAGAGGGGACACATGTTGATGTAGAAGAGACATGAAGAAGAGGGGACACATGTTGATGTAGAAGAGACATGAAGAAGAGGGGACACATGTTGATGAAGAAGAGACATGAAGAAGAGGGGACACATGTTGATGTAGAAGAGACATGAAGAAGAGGGGACACATGTTGATGTAGAAGAGACATGAAGAAGAGGGGACACATGTTGATGAAGAAGAGACATGAAGAAGAGGGGACACATGTTGATGTAGAAGAGACATGAAGAAGAGGGGACACATGTTGATGAAGAAGAGACATGAAGAAGAGGGGACACATGTTGATGTAGAAGAGACATGGAGAAGAGGGGACACATGTTGATGAAGAAGAGACATGAAGAAGAGGGGACACATGTTGATGAAGAAGAGACATGAAGAAGAGGGGACACATGTTTATGTAGAAGAGACATGAAGAAGAGGGGACACATGTTGATGTAGAAGAGACATGAAGAAGAGGGGACACATGTTGATGAAGAAGAGGCATGAAGAAGAGGGGACACATGTTGATGAAGAAGAGGCATGAAGAAGAGGGGACACATGTTGATGAAGAAGAGGCATGAAGAAGAGGGGACACATGTTGATGGAGAAGAGACATGAAGAAGAGGGGACACATGTTGATGTAGAAGAGACATGAAGAAGAGGGGACACATGTTGATGGAGAAGAGACATGAAGAAGAGGGGACACATGTTGATGTAGAAGAGACATGAAGAAGAGGGGACACATGTTGATGTAGAAGAGGCATGAAGAAGAGGGGACACATGTTGATGTAGAAGAGACATGAAGAAGAGGGGACACATGTTGATGGAGAAGAGACATGAAGAAGAGGGGACACATGGTGATGAAGAAGAGACATGAAGAAGAGGGGACACATGTTGATGTAGAAGAGACATGAAGAAGAGGGGACACATGTTGATGTAGAAGAGACATGAAGAAGAGGGGACACATGGTGATGAAGAAGAGACATGAAGAAGAGGGGACACATGTTGATGTAGAAGAGACATGAAGAAGAGGGGACACATGTTGATGAAGAAGAGGCATGAAGAAGAGGGGACACATGTTGATGAAGAAGAGGCATGAAGAAGAGGGGACACATGTTGATGGAGAAGAGACATGAAGAAGAGGGGACACATGTTGATGTAGAAGAGACATGAAGAAGAGGGGACACATGTTGATGTAGAAGAGACATGAAGAAGAGGGGACACATGTTGATGTAGAAGAGACATGAAGAAGAGGGGACACATGTTGATGTAGAAGAGACATAATGCTGCTAGCTAGTTGCAAACTATCTGTGTGCCTTGGCAAGAAATACAAAATGCTGTCATTGTTAATTGTATAGAATTTATTGCAGTTTTCAGCTATTGTATTATAGTTAAACGACGACTGGTTGTTTAGCGGTGGCGAGGCCGACCCGGTCCTGTCCTCTGTCGAAAATGCTGTAGAACTGTGTCAGAAACACATCTCCCAGAATCCACAGGGGGCCTTCGGAGGAAACCATGTCCACGGCCTGGAAGCCACTGAAGCACAACATCCTGTCGCCGAGCATCTCCTGGGGACAAAGACAGATAAAGGGAAGACATTTTGAGTATCGTGACGTTTATTTATGATCAAGTTTGTTTGTTGTGTCAACCATAAACAATATAGCAGAATAAATGATTGTCTTTAAGGTCCATGATATTCAAAATCAAAGCATACGTTTGTTTTTAAAACATCTATTCATGAAAAAAAAGATAGATGCTGAATTTTTATTGTAACTTTTAATTTACATTTAAGAGTTTCTCCCTTACCTACAGCCAAAGTTTAAAAACTGTTTTTGAGATCGTAATTAATCAGAAAACCATGAAAAGGAGAGGGTAACTACGTTGTTTTATAGAATTTGGAGGTTTTGCAGAGTCTTATGACAAATGGTTTGAGTGTGTTCGGTCCGATTTGTGCAAAAATACTGAAAAGAAACCCTGAATTATGCCCAAAAAGTAGATGGAAACAAGCATTCATTTGCATAACCTTTAGGCCAATGCTCTTGAAATTCAGCTACATTTTAGGAGATATTTATGTGGAAAACTTGCTACTAAAACAATATCTTGGAACATCCATTGGACCTCCTACAACCCTCTAACTCATGTGAATCTCTGGTTATCTTGCAGTTCTTGAATTCCCCTGAAGCAGAAATGTGTCGCACTATGTACCAAAAAGCTCTAAGCAAACAACAAGCGTCACAGTGAACCAGAGATAGGACCATCATCATTGAAAAACCTTCATGGAAGCTCTTGATGATTCCTTACGACGCCTCTGAAACCCTTTAGGAGATCCACACGGTTCTTGATCCCCAACTTGCTAACAATATAATCCTGGGAAAAAAGAACCTAAATAAGTCGAAGCAGAGACAGAAAGACAAACCTTCCTGACGTAGTGCTCAGACGTCAGAGTGTACTCCTTTCCTCCGAGGACGAATGTGATGCGAGGCAAACTGATCAACCTGGCACAGTCGATGATGAACTGAAACAAAGAGAGGTTGTTAACACATCTCAAGAAAAAAGGGATTGTCCTACAGAGTGGTGCAGTGACGAGTCCTAAAACCAGGAAGTGAGTCAGCATTGCACCACTTCCTGTTCTCTCGTCTCAGAGCCAATGGGATCTCTCCATAGGGTTTAGGAAAATATCTGTAAATAAGGTCTGTGGTTGAGACACATTGAAGAGACGGATCACGTTTTGTTCTACGACATTAAATCCATCAGCAGTGACCCCACTGGTGATTTCTGAAGAGTTGACGTGTCTGAAAAACGATGGTTGTTACCAAGTGGCTGAATAGGACTACAGAAGTTGTGGAGGCCGTTGTACGTCATTACGCCGAACACGTAAACACTCCTCTAAGTTAGTCTGCCCTGTTCTGCTTGAAAGCAAGTACCTGCCTCCTGCAGACTGTTCAAACAAACGCTTCAACTCGTACCATTTAGAATCTGTGTGTTTGAATATGGATCTGAAGTTGGCGTGACGTTGAAGTCGTGCTGCTGTACTCGACTGTAGTTCCTTTGTAGCATAACGTTAGCATTTAGCTTCTGGCCATTAGATTTATGATTCCAACATTATAAAAGTAGGGTAGACATGTGGAGATGATCCGGCTGAACAAAACGTGCATTTATCAAACAGGTTCGTTTTCCACAGACCTTATTTCCAGCTATTTTCCTAAATCCTCTGGAGAAATCCCGTTGCTTTTTGTGGAGGGAACCAGCAGCTTCCTTCAGGGTCGGCCTACAACAATACGTCATCCCTGCACCGCTCTATTTACTCTTATGATGAGGTTGATACAGTAAAAATAAAGGTCTTGAACCTCTCCGATGTTGGTGGGCGAGGCTCCGATCAGCTGCTGGATGTTCAGGATGTCTTCAGTCGGTCCAGCGATGAGAGAAGTTCCAGTGTCAATGATGGCCTGACAGCCGTGAGAACAGAAGGGACTCACGCCCTGCACCACCAGGCTGAAACACACACAGACATGTTCATTTGAGTTGTGTTCAAATCCTTGTTTTTCTATTATCAATAGACTAAATGTCGCGACTACTCTTGTTACAAAAGGAAGTCTACTTGTCTATGAAGGATCAATTAAACAGCAACATTTCCCTTATAAGGTTATGGTCTTAATGGCTAGTTTAAGTTCTTCATCAATACAGTATGATGGTCATCTCATCAATTATGGTCCAATTTAGAGTGAAATAGTCGATACAGAGGGGTATGTTTAGGGCGGGGCTAGCTTTTGATTGACAGTTTGTTACCTTGGTTTCGGTTTCGGTTGTTCTAAAAAACACTTCAAGGTTAGCCCTCTAGGAGCCAAAAGGCCCTCAGAGATAATTGAATAAGTGTTGAAAGTAGGGATGCTCCGATCGATCGGCCGCCGATCGATATCGGTCGATACTCACTCTCTGCCGATCGATCGGTGCTCTCTAAAAAGGCCGATCGCGAGAGCCGATCGCATGACGTAAAATACATGACACTTTTCTCTGTGTGTGCGGCAAAACAAGCTCGCCAAAATGGCTTCACCGGGTCTGGCAGTCCGAAAAAGACAATAAAATAGCGGTATGCAACGTGTGTGTGAAGCAGAAATCCTGCAGCTCCACCCGCTGTGACGGACCGGTGAGCGGAGCAACACACACATTAAGAGTTAGACCTAACACACTTAGCTATTTGATCTACCTCTGGAACTAGTTATACATATGTTTATTCTTCACTGTCGGGTCTCTCATTACTGGATCAGTGAGCTGCATGAGATACTGACGGGCTGTCAGGAGGAGAGAGAGAGAGAGAGAGGAGAGAGAGAGAGAGAGAGAGAGAGAGAGAGAGAGAAGGAGAGAGAGAGGAGAGAGAGAGAGAGAGAGAGAGAGAGAGAGAGAGAGAGAGAGGGGGAGAGAGAGAGAGAGAGAGAGTTATTCTCCAAAGTAAAAAAAAAAGTATAAATATGCCTTATATAGGTATGGTCCTACACTATATTATTAAAATACAGCATGATAGGTCCACTTTAATGTAAACTTGAATAATGTACTTCATTTGAATGTAATAATGATGTTGGTTGTTGTTTGTGGAAGAGCCAGTGACTGAGCATTAACTGAGTTTTAAACATCACTTTAAATGGAAGATCCCCATAGGCCCCGCCCACTCGATCGGATCGGCGATCGGTATCGGCCGATACTGATTCCGGCGATCGGCCCCAAAATTGGCGATCGGAGCATCCCTAGTTGAAAGTTAGCCCTTCTTGTCCGTACAGGGTCAGGACACTCTCATTAACTTATACACAGAATAACAATTTTTAAAAACAATAGGGATACCTGTCCATCTTGATCTGCCAGTAGCCCTTAGCAGTCACAGGGAGCCAGTTGATTGGTCCGTTGTACAACGCCTCGTCTATTCCGCCTAGCAACAGCTCGCCCTCTGGGGTTCCACTAGCTGTTTTCCTGCAGGGATAAAAAATGTTCACTTAAATATAATAAAAATACAAATCCAGACTTGCTTGAAACCCTCAAACTCTGCTGCAACTCTTTGGGAACCTTTCAACAATGGACAATCCTGAGACAACAGGGAACAGAACACACTTCTTCTACACGTTTCCCCCAAAATACCAAGAAACTCTCTGAACTTTTGTTACTTTCTGGATCCTACTTGAACCCTTGAACACTGGAAACTCTTTGGGAACTTGAAATCCAATCTGTGGACCCTTGGAGTCCAATTTGAAGAACGTAGACGTCCAGTTTGGAAACCACAAGGAAGTGTATTTGTCCAGAAGGAACCACAACAAAAAATGATCCTATAAAGAACCCCTAAACTGGTTTTACTGGTGATCTCCTGGTGTGAATGCTGGAAGGTCGACTCACTTCTTAGCAGAGATGGCACAAGTACACACATCCTTTACTCAAGTAGAAGTACACACATCCTTTACTCAAGTAGAAGTACAGATACTCGTGTTTAAAAATACTCTGGTAAAAGTAGAAGTACTGACTAAACTTCTTTACTCAAGTCAAAGTAAAGAGGGCTTTGAAATGTACTTCAGTAAAAAGTACCCATAACTAGCAGCTGTTTTAAAGAGTACCTGACCTCCCTTTATATTAATAGAACAATAATGTCATTGTTAGCTAATGAATGTTTCCATGCTGAACAACGGCAACATGACAACGTTTTCATTGGTCCCTCTTCTTTAGAGAAGACCAGGAAATGATGGATACACGGATCGTGTTCAAATCAATACGCACGCAATGACTCTAAATAATAATGATCACGCCACCAAACACACATTCAAACTAAAGGAACCAGCCTGTTTGGGAAATGTGAGAAGTAGAAAGTACAGGTATTTGGGTTCAACATGTGAGAAGTAGAAAGTACAGGTATTTGTGTTCAACATGTAAGAAGTAGAAAGTACAGGTATTTGTGTTCAACATGTAAGAAGTAGAAAGTACAGGTATTTGGGTTCAAAATGTAAGAAGTAGAAAGTACAGGTATTTGGGTTCAACATGTAAGAAGTAGAAAGTACAGGTATTTGTGTTCAACATGTAAGAAGTAGAAAGTACAGGTATTTGAGTTCAACATGTAAGAAGTAGAAAGTACAGGTATTTGAGTTCAAAATGTAAGAAGTAGAAAGTACAGGTATTTGTGTTCAAAATGTAAGAAGTAGAAAGTACAGGTATTTGTGTTCAACATGTAAGAAGTCAAAGTAAAAAGTGGTCAGAAAAATAAGTAGTGGAGTAAAGTACTGATACCAGAAACATGTACTTAAGAACAGTAACGTAGTATTTGTACTCCACTACTTCCCACCTCTGCTTCTTAGTCATGGTGTTAGTTCAGATAAAGCCCGTCTCACCTGCTCAGGTAGAAGGAGAAGACGGGCTGGTCCAACAACTTCTGCGCCAACATGTTGTCGAAAACGGGGTTTCCCAGGATCTCTGCCAGGGCCGGGTAACCCATCCCCAAAACGCCATCAAACCTCGCCATCACAAACGCAGAGCCGGGCTCATAGACCGACTCCCCGAACTCCTGGTTCTTAGCCGTCATACCTGCCACCTGGACGACAACACAGATTTTCCACTTAAGCCACTCAAGCTTCTTCCACAACATGGGGCCAAAACAAAGAGAACATTGGTTAAGAATTGGAGTCAAAAGATGCTAACTTCCCTTTTCAAAGGAATTATTTATGAGATTCTTGAGGTTTCTTTTATTGATGACGTTGATTTGACTTCAAACTTCTTTATCTTTAAAAAAAATCTTTGTAATTTCTTCAATTTGTCTGTGGTTCTACGTTCTGTATGAGAGGGCAGAGTCGTTGAACCTGCATCCAATAGTATCGCGTAGTATCTTTTTGTACCTAAAAATATGTTTTTTGCAAGTTAGACAGGTGCAGGAGTTCATTTGAAGTTATTCTGATTGTCACATTCACATATGTTAGTAGGTTATAAATAAACGGACCGTCAGGTTGTCTCGGCCCATGACCCCCAGCAAGTGTCCTGATCCGTAGTGTATCCCAAACATCCGACCGTCATGGCGGAAAGACGTGGATTCAAACGCCCTGAAGCGCTTGTGCGTCGCTGTGAACACACACACACACACACACACACACACACACACACACACACACACACACACACACACACACACACACACCACACACACACACACACACACACACACACACACACACACACACACACACACACACACACACACACACACACACACAGAGAGAGAGACCTTGAACTTCTTATCACAGTAAGCCATACTGTCATGCTGTCCTGACCCACAAACACATCCCTCTGATACTCAAACACTTGTGAGTTGTGTACTGTAGTGTGTGTGTGTGTGTGTGTGTGTGTGTGTGTGTGTGTGTGTGTGTGTGTGTGTGTGTGTGTGTACTGTGTGTTACCACAGGCTTGGCTGACGCAGTAGGTCGAAGGCACCCACAGATCGGACGATCCGGTGTCAAACACCACAGAGAAGTTTTGCCCCGGGGTCCCCAACGTGATGTCACCGAAATACTGAGCCTAAAACACACACACACATAACTATGGACATCATGCGATTAATCGCGATTAAATATTTTAATCAACTGACATCCCTAATTTTATTATATATGTTGCATCGTTGGAGGAGCTCAGGTCAGAAGAATTTCATTGCCATTTCTACACTGTAGCTTCTGACAATCAAACCTTTGAATTGAGAGCACATGCACAGAAACCTCTAGAACTAAAGGAGAGGGTTTTTTTCCCTCACGTCCATGAAGTTGTAGATCTTCTCACTGGAGCGCCCCAGCCTCAGAGAGGGCGTCCCGGGGGGGAAACACTGAGAGTAGCGGCGACCGAACATGTCGGGTCGATTCTCCTTCAGGAATTCCTGCAGCAGACCTTCAGAGCGGAGCTGAGAGCGGATCGAGGGCACCCTCTTCAGAGGCACCCTGGGGGGACATTTGATCAAAATGTATGTAAATATTGATGAATAAAAAAAACATTTAAAAATGATTAAATTACTGCATTTTATTCACAACCGATAGACTTCATTAAAAAAAGTAAAACATCTTATTAAAAAAAATCTTAATTCGCTCATTTTGTTTGTTCCTATTCTTCGCCCCGAGGGTTTAAACAGTTATTTTTAAATGTCTGTTTAATAAAATAAAAGTGTCAAAAATACAACAATTAAAATGAATAGCGACAGTTAAAGGTGGGGTAGGTAAGTTTGAGAAACCGGCTCGAGATCGCTAGAATTTGAAAATACACAACTGGAGAAAATCTGCCACTTCCTCACAGAGCCCCTCCTCCAACACACACGAACGCGCACATGACCAATGAGGGCACGAGATAAGTCTGTGCACAGATGGAAGGCTGACAGGCAGGTAGGCCATCCAGTTATTTTAGCCGGGCCGGCTCAGATGATTGGTCGTGCTTTTTACAGTACCACACCTTCCACAGATGAGATTTATTTATGGATTTTTTGTCAAAGCACTTCAGATATTCATTGCTATCGGGATGTTAAGAGCATTCCATGGGATATAACAACAAGTGTATCTCGAACCGGTTTCTCAAACTTACCTACTCCACCTTTAAAGTGATATGAAACATAAATGAAATATAATTCATAAAAATACTAAAACAATTAATACAAAATTAAAACACTAAAATATAATAATTTTAATAAATATTTTCTTACCTGACCAGCGCTGAGCTCGTCCATGTCCAGATAAACAGCAGCAGCAACACCGACCTCATGTCTGTCTCTCTGCCTGTCTGTCTGTCTCTCTGCCTGTCTCTCCGTCTCTCTGCCTGTCTCTCTGTCTGTCTGTCTGTCTGTCTCTCTGTCTGCCTGTCTCTCCGTCTCTCTGCCTGTCTCTCTGTCTGTCTCTCCGTCTGTCTCTCCGTCTGTCTGTCCGTCTGTCTGCCTGTCTCTCCGTCTGTCTCTCCGTCTGTCTCTCCGTCTGTCTGTCTGTCTGGGAGTCTGTGTTTCTGCAGACTGGAGGTTTCCTCTGCAGTCAAGCAGTTTTTATGATCAGTCTTCATTCTGATTGGATCCTCTCCCTCATCTCTAATTCAGTGCAAAGATAGTCTGCGAGAGGATTAGTCATTTATTTTCTTTTTAGATAAAGTGGAATTTATTTTTCGGATTTCTGAGATTTTCAGTATATATTTAAAAATATATTTATGTATTTTTTTATTTCTTCAGAATTCTGAGATTTAAAATAAAGGATTCAGGAATACAAATTCTCAAATGTTTTTTTTTTGTTATACAATTTTCCAAAAAAACTAACAAATACATATTTTTTTCAATCACTTTTTGTCCGACAGAATTATAATAAAACAATACGACTTATTTAACCTCTTCAGCCCTGAGCCTGTTTTCCAGGTCTCAGGCTCGAAAATGACATTCCCAGAACAAATGACCATATCTTCCCTTCTAAAAGGGTTAAATTAATAATCTTTTTTCTCAAAGCAATGATAAACCCGTGAGTTGGATGGAGAAGAGTCAGAATCAATATAGATTTATTTTAATTTTAAAGTAAATTCAGATTGAACATAGGAAAAAAATGTAAATGATAGTGTCCGTCCAAAAAAAACACATTACTTATAGTGAAAACCACCCTTGAATGATGGGATAGTAGACTAAAAGCTTTAGGAATCCAAACTATAACATATAATAAGTACCCTGTATCAAGATTGATGCAAAACAAGTGACATTTGACCTTTATAGAGATTTAGCAGAAAAAAAACCCTTCTGGGGTCATTTGGGTGGATTTGACCTTTCTCTGGCCCCCATTGGTCGATTTTGATGATTGACATCTCTTTTTAACCGCTAGAGCCAATGGAATCGAGGGGAAGTTCCACACACACACACGTTACCAAATAAGGAGCGAGAGTGATGCATAGCCAAAACCGGAAGCTGCGATACACTCTGGTGGCTACTATTAGCAGCTAACATTAATTCTCCGATTTTTGCATAAATATTGAATTATGGATTATCAGTAATTTTTTCAAAGTGACAGACACATTGGATTAACCTATGGATTAACCTTATTTCTATAATCTGTGGAATCTCAGGATGTTAGCTACGCTTGTTTGTGGAGATCCAATAAGTATATCGATCGGTATAGCTAGAGTTCTGTGCTAAGTGCGTTAGCATGTTTTCGCTCAGGGCTCATTTAGACCCTTCTTGTGAGAGTTGTGTTTTGTTTCGGTAAAAATGGTTCATATCATCAGTTAGCTGAGTTTCTTCCCGTTAGGAGGGTATGACACATTCATAGTTTTTTAAATATTAAGAAGCCCTGAGACAGTGTCGTGAAAAAAAAAATAAGAAAGAACGCCGACGGGGTCTTTGGGGCTTAACAGGTTAATACACTTTTATCATCATTCAGGAAACAACTTAATGTTTAATGTTGTTGGGCATTTTCAGTGTTTACACAAGGTCTCAGTCACTCTGACCTGAGGTCAGGTCAGAGTGACTGAGACCTTGTGTAAACACTGGGGGGGGGGGGTAAACATGAGAGGACTCTTTAAAGTAGAGACACTGCATACTGATATACACCTGAACATCATCAGGAGAGGACTCTTTAAAGTAGAGACACTACTTACTGATATACACCTGAACATCAGCAGGAGAGGACTCTTTAAAGTAGAGACACTACATACTGATATACACCTGAACATCAGCAGGAGAGGACTCTTTAAAGTAGAGACACTACATACTGATATACACCTGAACATCATCAGGAGAGGACTCTTTAAAGTAGAGACACTACATACTGATATACACCTGAACATCATCAGGAGAGGACTCTTTAAAGTAGAGACACTACATACTGATATACACCTGAACATCAGCAGGAGAGGACTCTTTAAAGTAGAGACATTACATACTGATATACACCTGAACATCAGCAGGAGAGGACTCTTTAAAGTAGAGACACTACATACTGATATACACCTGAACATCAGCAGGAGAGGACTCTTTAAAGTAGAGACACTACATACTGATATACACCTGAACATCAGCAGGAGAGAACTCTTTAAAGTAGAGACACTACATACTGATATACACCTGAACATCAGCAGGAGAGGACTCTTTAAAGTAGAGACACTACTTACTGATATACACCTGAACATCATCAGGAGAGGACTCTTTAAAGTAGAGACACTACATACTGATATACACCTGAACATCAGCAGGAGAGGACTCTTTAAAGTAGAGACACTACATACTGATATACACCTGAACATCAGCAGGAGAGGACTCTTTAAAGTAGAGACACTACATACTGATATACACCTGAACATCAGCAGGAGAGGACTCTTTAAAGTAGAGACACTACATACTGATATACACCTGAACATCATCAGGAGAGGACTCTTTAAAGTAGAGACACTACATACTGATATACACCTGAACATCAGCAGGAGAGGACTCTTTAAAGTAGAGACATTACATACTGATATACACCTGAACATCAGCAGGAGAGGACTCTTTAAAGTAGAGACACTACATACTGATATACACCTGAACATCAGCAGGAGAGGACTCTTTAAAGTAGAGACACTACATACTGATATACACCTGAACATCAGCAGGAGAGGACTCTTTAAAGTAGAGACACTACATACTGATATACACCTGAACATCAGCAGGAGAGGACTCTTTAAAGTAGAGACACTACTTACTGATATACACCTGAACATCATCAGGAGAGGACTCTTTAAAGTAGAGACACTACATACTGATATACACCTGAACATCAGCAGGAGAGGACTCTTTAAAGTAGAGACACTACATACTGATATACACCTGAACATCAGCAGGAGAGGACTCTTTAAAGTAGAGACACTACATACTGATATACACCTGAACATCAGCAGGAGAGGACTCTTTAAAGTAGAGACACTACATACTGATATACACCTGAACATCAGCAGGGGAGGACTCTTTAAAGTAGAGACACTACATACTGATATACACCTGAACATCATCAGGAGAGGACTCTTTAAAGTAGAGACACAACACACTGATTTACACCTGAACATCAGCAGGAGAGGACTCTTTAAAGTAGAGACACTACATACTGATATACACCTGAACATCATCAGGAGAGGACTCTTTAAAGTAGAGACACAACACACTGATATACACCTGAACATCAGCAGGAGAGGACTCTTTAAAGTAGAGACACTACATACTGATATACACCTGAACATCAGCAGGAGAGGACTCTTTAAAGTAGAGACACTACATACTGATATACACCTGAACATCAGCAGGAGAGGACTCTTTAAAGTAGAGACACTACATACTGATATACACCTGAACACCAGCAGGAGAGGACTCTTTAAAGTAAAGACACTACATATTGATATACACCTGAACATCAGCAGGAGAGGACTCTTTAAAGTAAAGACACTACATATTGATATACACCTGAACACCAGCAGGAGAGGACTCTTTAAAGTAAAGACACTACATATTGATATACACCTGAACATCAGCAGGAGAGGACTCTTTAAAGTAAAGACACTACATATTGATATACACCTGAACATCAGCAGGAGAGGACTCTTTAAAGTAGAGACACTACATACTGATATACACCTGAACATCAGCAGGAGAGGACTCTTTAAAGTAGAGACACTACATACTGATATACACCTGAACATCAGCAGGAGAGGACTCTTTAAAGTAGAGACACTACATATTGATATACACCTGAACATCAGCAGGAGAGGACTCTTTAAAGTAGAGACACTACATACTGATATACACCTGAACATCAGCAGGAGAGGACTCTTTAAAGTAGAGACACTACATACTGATATACACCTGAACATCAGCAGGAGAGGACTCTTTAAAGTAGAGACACTACATACTGATATACACCTGAACACCAGCAGGAGAGGACTCTTTAAAGTAAAGACACTACATATTGATATACACCTGAACATCAGCAGGAGAGGACTCTTTAAAGTAAAGACACTACATATTGATATACACCTGAACACCAGCAGGAGAGGACTCTTTAAAGTAAAGACACTACATATTGATATACACCTGAACATCAGCAGGAGAGGACTCTTTAAAGTAAAGACACTACATATTGATATACACCTGAACATCAGCAGGAGAGGACTCTTTAAAGTAGAGACACTACATACTGATATACACCTGAACATCAGCAGGAGAGGACTCTTTAAAGTAGAGACACTACATACTGATATACACCTGAACATCAGCAGGAGAGGACTCTTTAAAGTAGAGACACTACATATTGATATACACCTGAACATCAGCAGGAGAGGACTCTTTAAAGTAGAGACACTACATACTGATATACACCTGAACATCAGCAGGAGAGGACTCTTTAAAGTAGAGACACTACATACTGATATACACCTGAACATCAGCAGGAGAGGACTCTTTAAAGAAGAGACACTACATACTGATATACACCTGAACATCAGCAGGAGAGGACTCTTTAAAGTAGAGACACTACATACTGATATACACCTGAACATCATCAGGAGAGGACTCTTTAAAGTAGAGACACTACATACTGATATACACCTGAACATCAGCAGGAGAGGACTCTTTAAAGTAGAGACATTACATACTGATATACACCTGAACATCAGCAGGAGAGGACTCTTTAAAGTAGAGACACTACATACTGATATACACCTGAACATCAGCAGGAGAGGACTCTTTAAAGTAGGGACACTACATACTGATATACACCTGAACATCAGCAGGAGAGGACTCTTTAAAGTAGGGACACTACATACTGATATACACCTGAACACCAGCAGGAGAGGACTCTTTAAAGTAAAGACACTACATATTGATATACACCTGAACATCAGCAGGAGAGGACTCTTTAAAGTAAAGACACTACATATTGATATACACCTGAACATCAGCAGGAGAGGACTCTTTAAAGTAGAGACACTACATACTAATATACACCTGAACATCAGCAGGAGAGGACTCTTTAAAGTAGAGACACTACATACTGATATACACCTGAACATCAGCAGGAGAGGACTCTTTAAAGTAGAGACACTACATATTGATATACACCTGAACATCAGCAGGAGAGGACTCTTTAAAGTAGAGACACTACATACTGATATACACCTGAACATCAGCAGGAGAGGACTCTTTAAAGTAGAGACACTACATACTGATATACACCTGAACATCAGCAGGAGAGGACTCTTTAAAGTAGAGACACTACATACTGATATACACCTGAACACCAGCAGGAGAGGACTCTTTAAAGTAAAGACACTACATATTGATATACACCTGAACATCAGCAGGAGAGGACTCTTTAAAGTAAAGACACTACATATTGATATACACCTGAACACCAGCAGGAGAGGACTCTTTAAAGTAAAGACACTACATATTGATATACACCTGAACATCAGCAGGAGAGGACTCTTTAAAGTAAAGACACTACATATTGATATACACCTGAACATCAGCAGGAGAGGACTCTTTAAAGTAGAGACACTACATACTGATATACACCTGAACATCAGCAGGAGAGGACTCTTTAAAGTAGAGACACTACATACTGATATACACCTGAACATCAGCAGGAGAGGACTCTTTAAAGTAGAGACACTACATATTGATATACACCTGAACATCAGCAGGAGAGGACTCTTTAAAGTAGAGACACTACATACTGATATACACCTGAACATCAGCAGGAGAGGACTCTTTAAAGTAGAGACACTACATACTGATATACACCTGAACATCAGCAGGAGAGGACTCTTTAAAGTAGAGACACTACATACTGATATACACCTGAACATCAGCAGGAGAGGACTCTTTAAAGTAGAGACACTACATACTGATATACACCTGAACATCATCAGGAGAGGACTCTTTAAAGTAGAGACACTACATACTGATATACACCTGAACATCAGCAGGAGAGGACTCTTTAAAGTAGAGACATTACATACTGATATACACCTGAACATCAGCAGGAGAGGACTCTTTAAAGTAGAGACACTACATACTGATATACACCTGAACATCAGCAGGAGAGGACTCTTTAAAGTAGGGACACTACATACTGATATACACCTGAACATCAGCAGGAGAGGACTCTTTAAAGTAGAGACACTACATACTGATATACACCTGAACATCAGCAGGAGAGGACTCTTTAAAGTAGAGACACTACTTACTGATATACACCTGAACATCATCAGGAGAGGACTCTTTAAAGTAGAGACACTACATACTGATATACACCTGAACATCAGCAGGAGAGGACTCTTTAAAGTAGAGACACTACATACTGATATACACCTGAACATCAGCAGGAGAGGACTCTTTAAAGTAGAGACACTACATACTGATATACACCTGAACATCAGCAGGAGAGGACTCTTTAAAGTAGAGACACTACATACTGATATACACCTGAACATCAGCAGGGGAGGACTCTTTAAAGTAGTGACACTACATACTGATATACACCTGAACATCATCAGGAGAGGACTCTTTAAAGTAGAGACACAACACACTGATTTACACCTGAACATCAGCAGGAGAGGACTCTTTAAAGTAGAGACACTACATACTGATATACACCTGAACATCATCAGGAGAGGACTCTTTAAAGTAGAGACACAACACACTGATATACACCTGAACATCAGCAGGAGAGGACTCTTTAAAGTAGAGACACTACATACTGATATACACCTGAACATCAGCAGGAGAGGACTCTTTAAAGTAGAGACACTACATACTGATATACACCTGAACATCAGCAGGAGAGGACTCTTTAAAGTAGAGACACTACATACTGATATACACCTGAACACCAGCAGGAGAGGACTCTTTAAAGTAAAGACACTACATATTGATATACACCTGAACATCAGCAGGAGAGGACTCTTTAAAGTAAAGACACTACATATTGATATACACCTGAACATCAGCAGGAGAGGACTCTTTAAAGTAAAGACACTACATATTGATATACACCTGAACATCAGCAGGAGAGGACTCTTTAAAGTAGAGACACTACATATTGATATACACCTGAACATCAGCAGGAGAGGACTCTTTAAAGTAGAGACACTACATACTGATATACACCTGAACATCAGCAGGAGAGGACTCTTTAAAGTAGAGACACTACATACTGATATACACCTGAACATCAGCAGGAGAGGACTCTTTAAAGTAGAGACACTACATACTGATATACACCTGAACATCAGCAGGAGAGGACTCTTTAAAGTAGAGACACTACATACTGATATACACCTGAACATCAGCAGGAGAGGACTCTTTAAACATCTACTTTAAAGTGGACCTATCATATTATATTTGAACAATATATTGTAGGGCCATATCTATATAAAGTATATAAATAGTTTTTTTTTCAAAATACCAAACAGATCCTGCATTTTAGCCATGCCTCATTTCGCTCCATTTGCTCTTTCCAGCCCTGTTTTTGCAGGGGGCTGATTCTGTGAGCTGCTGCTGCCCACGCCCCCCTGCAGGAGAGGGGAGACGTGCTCTGATCAGCTGCTGGGCTGTCAGAAGAGGGGGAGAAAAAGAGATCTCCGTCCGCCGTGTTTTATTATATAGAGTCGTTATTCATTTGTTTTAAAGCTCAATAAATAACAAAGAAGACCTTTGACCGGCACTTTTCTAATTTTGTCTGGAAGATTTAAACTTTAACGGACATCTTGACCGGCGAAACAAACTGAAACTCTGCCGCACGGTCCCCTCGTTCCTTGGAAGAGGCGGAGAGGTGGGTGTTTGTCATCTGCTGGTGGACTAACCGGAGAGAATTACAGTGCTTGCCTCGACGGGGAGGGATTGCATTGAATTAAAGCAGCAGGAGCAAACGCTTGCCTCGGGGAGGGACAAGCCACAGCGGAGAATAAACAGAAGGGTAACCATGGTAACCATGCGCGGGAAGTCTTCTTCGCTGCTTTTGTGGCAGACTACAGTGCCACTTACAGGCCTGGCATATGTACTACAGCGTCTCCAGCGCTTTCGAGCGGCAATGGCCGGCCGTGGCCCAACCCCACATTCCCCTGATAGGTGGAGCGTTGGCCCAATAGCCGTAGCGCCACCGTCCTGACGTCAGGACAGTGTTCAAATCTGGATCAGTTTTTATCAGATCCGTTGCAGCCCCTTTTTTAGAGATTTGGGTATGGAGGAAAATAGAGAGGGTTGTGTTTCTGACACTTGGTGAGTTCCCTGGAACACCGGGGACACATATTCATGTATACAAGACGTACACAAGTGCATTTTGCATGATAGGTCCCCTTTAAGTTAGAAAACATTAAGATTCACAAAAACCACCAACAAATGTTTCAAGTGAGGATTGGTTCTTTATTTTCAGTAAACAAAACAAACAACGTCTAAAGTTACGATCAGAGCGACGTCGGCAAACACGATCTAACGTTAGCATAACCATGTGACCTCAGCTAACGTTAGCATCTAAGCCAACGTTAGCTTCACACTGACGTTAGCTACATGTGTGGTTAGCCAGCGTTAGCCTGCGCGGTGCTTCCACAGAAAAAAAAAAACATATCCGAGCGTTTCTTTAATTAGGACAGAGGCGATAAATAAGAAAACTGATCCCTCCCACATTCTTCATCCTCCTCTTCCTCCTCTAGCAGGGGTGATGGTCGGGGACTCTCTTCCTGCACAAACAAACAAACAACAGTCAGTAAACAATATTTTAAACTTTTGCAGTTTTCTACATTTTTCTTGACATTTTATTTTTCTTTATGCAATATTTCTTGCCTTTTCTCCCAAACATGTTATTTAGCTTTCAGACATTATTTATTTTAAATTCTAATTTAATTAAAGTACATTTTTGTGCAATTTTTCCCACACATTTCATATATATTTCAGACTTTAATATCTTTATTATAATTTCTTTAATTCTAATTTAATGGTTTAAAAAAAAAAAAAGTAAGTACATTTTGTACAATTTTTCCCCAAACATTTTCAGCATATATTTGAGACATTTAGGCTGAAGCGGGTTATTTCCAAGTGTCTCTTGACCCTTAAAGGTCACCTATCATGCTATTTGTAGGCAATAGCATAGGTCTCAGATATATACAAATATATAAAAAACATGTCTATGAAGTGTTTTGCTCAAAACACCAAACAGATCATTCTAGCCATGCCTCATATCCCTCTATTTCACTTCCTGTTTCTAAAGTGCTGAGGAGGGGTCTGAGCTCATGCGGGACCCGGCAGCTACCGTCTAAACTAAATGCTGCCGTGATGAAACGCCATATCATGGATTATCAAGGATTGTCTCTGAAACAGTATGGAGCTCAAAGGCTTTCTCTCTTGCCGGTTATACCACAAGGTGAGTTCCTTTTTATTTCCTGCTTCTTCACACACATGCTCTCCAGTACAGGTTAGCTCTGAGTGTTAGCGATGCTAATGTAAACACCGACCATATTACGTCCAAAACAGTCAGGCATTGTTTCTGATAGCAACGTTTCTGATAGGGCCGTGGGTCCACATTTCAGATATTACGTCATATCGGACGCAAATCTGGATCAGCTCCGTTGTTCCCCCGTTTTTAGAGATTTGGGTACGGAGGAAAAGAGAGAGGGTTTTATTTCCTGACGCTGCGTGAGTTCCCTGACACACCGGGGACACATTGATGTATAAAAGACATCAAAAAGTGCATTTTGCATGATAGGTCCCCTTTAATGCATTTAAATAAACCTTAAAAATGTGACCTGCCCTTTAAACTGATTTCTAGTAACTGCACACCTTTTATTTTATTTGGTTTTTAGCATTAATTTGTTATCTGCCATATGTCTAATGTTCGGTTGTGATAAATGTTAAAATCCATAAATCCATGTTTAAAAAAGGGAAAAAAAGAAATGTGACCAGCTTGTGTTTAAATAAAGGTTATTTGAATGCCTCGGACTCTGACCTGGGAGCAGCTTTGATGATGTTGTCGACTCGGAGGATCATCTCCGCGGCCTCGGAGGCGCTGAGCAGCACCTGCCGCTTCACCTGGAACGACTCCGTGATGCCGAGCTCCGCCATGTTGCCCACGGTGCCCTCGTTCATATCTGAAGAAACACGTCATCAATATCAGAAACACAAAAACAGGACGGATAAATACAAAAATATTTAAATATAGATTTTCTATTTATTAGGCTCTTTCACACCAAGTACTTTCCCCAGGAATAGTTCCCAGTACTTAGTCCCACCGAACTCTTTAGTTCCTGAACTATCTAGCAGATCGCGTTCACACCGGAACAAGTTCCCTGAGGGAGGATTATGCAAATGAAGCCGCTGACATCACTTCTTCTGCTTTGGGTTTACTGGCAGGCCGCAAACAACTTCACGGCGTTTACTGCCACCCGAAGCCCCGAAGGACTACGGGACTTCGGGTGGCAGTAAATCACCACCCGAAGCCCCGGGTAAATCGCCAGAAGCGCCGACACCTCCTCATCACTCCACCGCTCCCATGTTTTCTTTTGTGTTGCCATAAGTTAGTCTATCTCCGTTGGTGCGCAGGGCTAATGCTAATGCTAATAATGCTAATGCGAGCAAATAAAATGGCGGCTTCACAAAACTTTTCCGAGTTTTACGGGGCGTGGTTTGCAATTCGCCCAGCCAATCAGAAATTGGAACCGCTTCCTCCCCAGGAAAGCCCCACCTCTCTAGGGGGGACTGAAAAGGGGGGAAAAGGTTCCTGGAAAAAAGTTCTAGTTCCAGATCTTTTTGGTGTGAACGCAAATCGGAACTATTCCTGGTAAAAGTACACTGGTGTGAAAGCGCCTAATGACTAAATCGGCACTTTATAATTGACAGGTAAAAACATTTAAATCAGTTTTTTTATTAATTAAAAATAAATACTAAATAATAAAGTTGATTAAGAAAATACATTTTTATTAAGAGAAAAGGACTATTTGTATTAATTTACATCTACAGTCTGAAACAGAGGTTAACCCTTATGTTTAACCAAAATACAAGTTCATAAAGTAAAAATACAGAAAAATATGTATATATATTATATAAAATATACTGTAAAAACCAACAAATAAATACAAAAACTTTAAATAAAAAGGTAAATATATAAATTAAATTGATAAAGAAATAGATTTTTTATTTAGAAAAATATGTTTTTCAAAAGGTCAGATTTTTGCAGAATTCAATCATGTTTGTTTGTATTAATATTGACTCGAATGGCATTTCATATAACTCCAATATATATCCTTTATTTAACCAGGTAAACGTACCGAGTCCCCAGGTGCCCCCCTTGTTGTCCTGGTGAGCCGCTCTCAGCTGAGCCACCAGGTCGGCGCTGTCGTATCCGGCGTTATCAGCGATGATCGTTGGGAGCTGAGAAACAACGGGAAGAAACATTAACAAAGAAACTACAGAGATTTAAGAAATGTTGCAGGACTTGGTACAATCCTTTAAAAAGCAGTGTTTATCAAACTGTGGGCCCCAAATCATTTGCAAAACATGATGATTTGTGTGGAAACATTTCATTATTAAGATTTCTTTTTATTTTAACCTCTTTTCCTTTCTCCTCCTAAGCAACGGTCATTACAGTCCGTGACAGCGGTCTGTTATACTGGATTTTCAACGTGTCACATGTTCTGAATCGACCAATCAGAACTTTATTTAGCCTCCATATTGTTTATGGTTGAATGTGGGATGGGAACAATTTTTAGATTCTTAAGTGAACCCTGAAAAAGGTAAAAGTATTAAAATGGAGCGTACCATCCTCAGAGCCTTGGCGAAGGACTCCATGGCGACCGCCTCCTTTCCTGCTGTCCGATTGGCCAGATCAGTGACCACACGAGCCATCAGCATCTCAGAGCAGCCTGCAGGGAGAGGGGGAGTATTAGGTATTGTTCTAAAGGATTTAAAATCAAATGTAATCATCGCATTCAAAAAAATATATATATCAAATCAGAAGTGTGTGTGTGTGTGTGTACCTCCTCCGTAGACAGTGCGGGGCTCCTTGATGGTCTGAGATAACACACACAGAGCGTCGTGCAGCGAGCGCTCCGCCTCGTCCAGAATCTGCTGAGTGGCTCCTCTCAGGATGATGGTGCACGCCTCGCCTGAAGAGGGAAACACGTTAGAAACCTCGGAGAGCAACAGAGAGTTGTTTGGAAAATAGTGAACGTCCTCTTCCAACATGAGAGTAACATGCTAACAAAGGTATCCCAACTGTAGCTGTGAACATGACAGGATGTATGATTACCTAGAAGAGCATCAGGACTGTTTGAGGCATATGATAGCTATGTGATTAACATGATGATTCAGCCTCTATGGAGATAGACATATGACAAGCATGCTCATTTCTGACGTGGAGCTAATCTGAAGTAAACATTGAATACTGCTTTCTATTCCTCCATCTTGTGACTGTGTAACTGCCTCTCTTGGATATCAGCATGTGAAGGACACTGTTCAGGAACTAGTTGATGCTCTGTATGTGATGACTACTTCCATTCTGGAGAGGATCACACATACATGGATCCTGAGATTGAAGCTCAAGCCGGGGACCAGTGAGATCTTTCTAACAATGGATGTATAATAAGAACTGGATACAGCGTGTATGAGTGTGTGTGTGTTCTCACCCATAGCGACTCCAGAGAAGTGTATGAGTGTGTCCTCTCCGATCATCACCTCCTCGATCAGCTTGCAGTGTCCCAGCTTCACGAGCTCGGGGTGGTCGAAGGTGGAGGTGATCTCTCCTCCGGTGACCAGGGCGAGGCGCTCCACGCCCGCAAAGTCAGCGTGTTCGATCGCCATGACGCCCGCCTGAGCGAACAGCTGCTCGGGGTAGTTATAGATCAGCTGTCTAAAGAGAGAGAGAGAGAGAGAGAGAGAGGAACGTTAAAGACAGTATATAAAAGAGGTTACATAAGCACAGACTTTAACTTTGAAAGCAAGATGCCAACATCAGAAAACAAAGGTTAAAATGTCCCAAAAATGTTTTAATTACTTTGTGTCAAACGTTGATGATTTTAACTTGTAAGAGTAAGATGATAATGTCAGAAAATGAAGGGTGAAAGGTCCAAGAGTGTGTGTGTGTGAGATTGTGTGTGTGTGTGGGTGTACCTGTGTGTGAGATTGTGTGTGTGTGTGTGTGGGTGTACCTGTGTGTGTGATTGTGTGTGCGATTGTGTGTGTATACGTGTGTGTGTGTGATTGTGTGTGTGTGTGTGTGTGTGTGTGTGAGATTGTGTGTGTGTGGGTGTACCTGTGTGCGAGCGTGCATGTACCTGTGTGTGTGATTGTGTGTGTGCGATTGTGTGTGTGCGATTGTGTGTGTATACGTGTGTGTGCGATTGTGTGTGTATACGCGTGTGTGCGATTGTGTGTGTATACGCGTGTGCGATTGTGTGTGTATACGTGTGTGTGTGTGCGATTGTGTGTGTACCTGTGTGTGTGTGCGTGTGTACCTGTGTGTGTGTGTACCTGTGTGTGTGTGTACCTGTGTGTGTGTGTGTACCTGTGTGTGCGATTGTGTGTGTGTACCTGTGTGTGTGTACCTGTGTGTGTGTACCTGTGTGTGTGTACCTGTGTGTGTGTACGTGTGTTTGTGTGTGTGTGTGTGTGTACCTGTGTGTACCTGTGTGTGTGTACCTGTGTGTGTGTACCTGTGTGTGTGTACGTGTGTTTGTGTGTGTGTGTGTGTGTACCTGTGTGTACCTGTGTGTGTGTACCTGTGTGTGTGTACCTGTGTGTGTGTACGTGTGTTTGTGTGTGTGTGTACCTGTTGATGAAGCAGTTGATTCCGTGTTTCAGGATGCGCTCAACTTTCTCTTTCATCTTTTCTTTCTCTGCCATCTCGATCTCGGCCACCTTCGCCGTCGAGTCGACGCGAACCCTGGAGCCGAAGATCTGAGAACACACACACACACACATTGAACACACACAAATGAAATACACACTCAAAGCACACATTAAATAGAAAAGCACTCCATAAATAAAATGCATTATTATTAAACACGAGTATGATGCAAGGCAAACTGTTCTAAATGTGTGTGTATATGTGATAGTGTGTGTGAGAGTGTGTGTGAGAGTGTGTGTACCTTGATCTTGTCGGTGTCCATGCCGGTGTTGGCGATCAGTATGTTGACGTTCTCCATCCTCTTCGGCTGGTTCACTCCGATCTTCTTGTCCAACAGGAAACCTACAGAAAGACCAGAAATAATAAATGAAAACACAAACAATTGCTGTATTAGTTTTTAGCTTTAGGGTTCATAGTGTCAGCCAATCAAGAGTGGTCGCTGGTGATGACATCGCGCTCACCTTCGTCCAGGTAGGAGTCGGTGAGGCTGCCCCCGAGCTTCTTGATGATGTGAATGGCCTCCAGGTTTCCGGATCCCTTCAGACGCATCACAGCGTCGACGGCCAGCTGAGAGAAGTGAGCTTTGTGATGAGTCAGCAGTTTGGAGGACAGCGTCGTGCGGGCGATGTTCAGAAGATCCTCCTGGAAAGCTGCCGCGTCGTTGCTATGGAGATCGGGGGGGGGGTCATCATTAGAGAGAAGTTCAAATGAATTATTTAATGTATCAGGGTATATGCAGGAATCCTGAAGTCAAATGTAATACCTCTTAACGGGCTTTTTTTCACGACACTGTCTCAGGGCTTCTTAAAGTGTAAAAAACTATGAATGTGTCATACTCACTTAACGGGAAGAAACTCAGCTAACTGACGATATGAACAATTATTACCGAAACAAAACACAAGTCTCACAAGAAGCGTCTAAATGAGCCCTGAGCGAAAAAATGCTAACGCACTTAGCACAGAACTCTAGGTATATATCGATCGATATACTTATTGGATCTGCACAAACAAGCTTAGCTAGCAAGCTGAGATTCCAGAAATATCAGTATCATCACTGAACGATCAGAACTCGCGACAGGGGAAGCAAAACCAGACATCACACGACGTAGCTGTAGGTAGCAAAACACGGAGATATGCTCACCTTTAGCTGTTATTCTGATCAAAAGTCGTGTTCAATGGCATTAAAACGAGAAAAACGCGGCTGCAGGTTAATCCATAGGTTAATCCAATGTGTCTGTCACTTTGAAACAATTATTGATAATCCATTTTTATGTAAAAAAACTGAGTTTTCATATTAGCTGCTAATGATAGCTTCCTGTTTTGGTTTTTCTGGCTACGCGTCACTCTCACTCCTTATTTGGTAACGTGTGTGTATGTGGAACTTCCCATCAATTCTATTGGCTCTAACGGTTAAAAGGAGATGTCAATCATCAAAATCGACCAATGGGGTCCAGAGAAAGGTCAAATCCACCCAAATGACCCCAGAAGTGGTTTTTTGTTGCTAAATCTCTCTAAAAAGGTCAAATGACTTAGTTTTCACTATCAGTAATGCTTATTACTTAGCCTGATCGATCCGATCTCCATTCAGAAAACACGCATTTTAAAAGGTGTTTCTCCTGCCGTCTGTCTGCAGACTTGTCAAAGCATTAATTCATGGTTTTTACGAACCGGTATCAGTATGTTGTTACTTCAGCATCATTTTGAAACGTGTATTACAATTAAATCACGGTCAAATATGTTCATTGTGTTTTTAGTTGCCAGCGATTCTCTCTCTAGTTTAGCATACTCAGCCCGGTTCTTGGCCCGGAAAGAACCTCGATTTTGGAGAGCCAGAAAAACGGTGAAAAAGTACCCGCTAGCCGGAACTACGCCTCGTGGAAACGCAACCAAAAACGGGCCGGGCACGCTTAAACCGCGCTGTAGTGGAAATGCGCCAGTTGAATCCAAAACATGGCCCCTATGTGGGTTTAAAACCAGAGAAAGTTGTATATTTTCTGTATTTATAAAGTATTTCTCCCTCAGTCTGACCTATGATCAACAGCCGCCTCCCTCAGAGCGTCTCTGGCGACCTGCGTTGCTTTCCTCCAGCCGGAGATGATGGTCTGAGGGTGGATCTTCTTAGCGATCAGCAGCTCTGCTTCCTGTAACACACACACATTATATCAAAAAGGTTATAAACAAATTAGGCAAGAGAAATATTTAAAAACATTTGTGGAGGAAATTCTTAAGAGAAACTAATAAATGGAGAAAGTTTGTCTTTTGTTATATTTAATAAAGAAAGTCAATATGCAAGTGAAATGGATCTCAAATGAAGGAACAGAGGCGCTTCATCCTAATGGAGAAGTTCTGCTTGGTCTCACTATATAGAGACTATCCAACTGGTCCCTCTCTTAAGCATCGAGCATTAAACCCCCCAGTCCTTAACCATTTGCAAATCCCCCTTTTACACTTCCTTTGTCTCGGTTACATACAAGACTACAAATACAATCTAACAGAGTAAATGGCAATCAGAGTATAAGACTATATGTTTTTAAATGATTATATGATCATTTGACAACCTGCATTATTAATGTTTAAGTAAAGAGTGTGTTACCCTCAGCAGCTCTGCAGCGAGAACGGTGACGGAGGTCGTTCCATCGCCAACTTCATCGTCCTGAACCTTAGACATGTCTGAAAAACATCAACCATTTAATTCATGTTTCTATATTTAAATGTACATGAATAGTTACAGATTAATTACCAGGTAGAATTAGATATTTAAAGTGTATTTTACAGGGTTAAATTGAGCTTTAAATGTTCCTTAAGTGGACAAATTATTATTCTCCTTAGTTAACATGCAGATAATAGTTTAGCCTATTAAAAAGAAATGCAACTTGGTGGAGCCAAATGTCTCGATTAGTTAACAAAACGTCAACAAACATCTTTACTCACCAACCAGGACTTTAGCAGCCGGGTTGTCGACGCCGATGGATTTCAGGATCGTCGCTCCGTCGTTTGTCACCGTCACTAAACCCTGTTTCCCTCCACCCAGCAGGATCTTATCCTAAAGGGAGAAAATATTATTAAATTATATAAAATATAAGTTAGTTTATGGAGGCAGAAGTTTATGAAATCAACCTCAAAACGACACGATTAAAAATGGTGACGTTTTTGCTTATTTTACTGACTTTTCTAGTTCAATATCACCCAAACTCCACATGGAAATCAATATAATCAAATACTATAACAATTGTAATGTTATTATAAAACTATAATCAGTTTTAGTGATTTTTTAAAAGACGTACCATCCCCTTAGGACCCAAGGTGCTCTTCACCAGATCTCCGATGGCGATGGCGCCGATGAAGGACGACTGCAGAGAAAACACACAGATTAAAACAAACCATTTAATAATATATTTTTAAAAAGCTTGTCTTCTTCTTTAGCTTGTCGAATAAATAGATAAAAGCTCACCAGTCGTGCGGTCTCAGCTTTCTCTTCATCTGCTCCATTTTTGAAGATGTTGATCGGGGCCATCGATAGGGACGCCTAGACACACAAAACAATCAGAAATAAATAGAAAAATCATCAGAAAAATTGTGTTTTCTGGATTGTAGTCAACGTTAGGGATGTCCCAATCTGTTTTTATAATGCACTACTGCATAGATTTGGATATAGAACTTTTTTTAACATGTATTGTTATTTATTGAATTTTGCATTTTTTGGGGGTTTTCTTCTTAAAAAATGACTCGAAATGATCGCTTTAATTATTTCAGATTCACTTACAGTCCACTGACTAATAGACTTAGCTCTACAGTTTAACACAATACAACAGCATTACAAATTAAAGCATCATATGTGGTTACTAACTTGAATATAAACCAACTGAAACCAACTTAATAAATAATTTAAATAAGTATTAATCTTAATTTTCTATTGTCATTCTTTTATTTCCTATTTTGAGATGTTTTCATTATATAATTGGGTTTTTTCTACTCTTTTTTTAAATGTCTAATAATGTGCAATACTTTGTTTAACATGCTGCTGCAACCAATCTCAATTTGAGATCAATAAAGTATATCTTATTCATCTTAATGTACAGTTTCTTTTTGTAAAATATTGAATTTTGTATAGTATTTTTTTACTTTTCTTAATTTCAATGCATTTGTAATTTGACTTAAAATAATGGGAAAAAATATAATTGATGCACAATTAGCCACTTTATATGATACGTTTAATACAATACTAAATGACGTTGTGATTTCTCTCAGAAAGAGAACCAAACAGATATTTTTCTGCAGAAAGTGATGCGACACACCTCAGCAGCGACACAACACTTCATCCAGAAACAGGATTTGAACACAAAGAAACAGTACAGTAACATTGCATTACTCCATATTTAGATGTGTATACAAATGAACAATGATCTGTTCAGCTTTAATAGTTTGCATGTTAGCAAAAGTGGCGAATAAACGTGGCTTTTGTCCCCCTTTTTTAATGGAAGAACTCGTTATTCCGAGCACCAGTGAACGCAGCGCTGCACCGTTAGAAACACCTAGAAGCTTCCATCCAAATTGTTAACAAATAAATAAAAGCACAAAAACGAAAAGACCGTAAAGCTACAATTAAAGTCAGTTATAAGTGTACGTTGTGTGTAGATGTAATTAAACATTTACACTGTTTCTTACGTTTTTTATTCACTACTGCATGTTCTCTTGACAGCCACAAAGGCAACATGACAAGCTAACCTAGACTAGCATGCTAACTTAGCAAATCTGAGCAGAGCCACAATAAACAGTCACTGAAAAAACACCCTAAAACACCAGTTAAACTTGTATTAGCCGTAGCAAACAGGACAGCTTTAAAACATTTTAGAGAATAAAATGCAAGTCATCAGAGGCTTATGCTAGCTTAGCCGTTAGCTCATTCATTAGCCTCCATGTGCTCACCGGCAGCTAACGGGAAGCTAAACATCCTCTAAAAACTACACACACGGACTTTTTCAAGCGGTTTAACAAACTCTCTCTGAGTTTAGCTGCTTATTCGTGTACAGTGGTGGTTTGTAAAATGTGTCTAAAGGTGTAAAATATAGTAAATAAAAGTAAAAGCTTACCATGATGACTGTGAAAGCAGAGCACGCAGACAGAAGAAGGGCTGGGCAGGGCTGTGACGTAGTTACGTAAATAACGTGATGCTGCGTTCAGGGACGATCTTGGAAGACACAGTGCTGCAACTGTTAGAAATGTCTTCCTTTTTTGGTCCTTTTGTTAACCAGAAATGAGCTATGACGTTTGTTTTGGATACAATATTGGTTCTTATGCCGTTTCTATAGACTTCACATCAAGGCCGTAACCATGGAGTCTACATTGGGGGGGACCACAAATTCAATCAAAATTTGAATACTAATTTGCTGCCATTCTAAAGGAAAATATATAAAAATTCACTAACACATGGGATACTTTAAAACCTGTTAAACCCCATGCCTCCGCCCGTGGGGGCAAAAAACAACAATATTCAAGCAACTGTGTCTCAGGCATGTGCGTAGGAAGCATCCTCAATGTGGGTGGGATAATTTGACGGGGGATGTGGGCCATGGATGTATAATAAGAACTGGATACAGCGTGGGAGGCGGGGCCTCATTCATTCCTATGAGAGTTGCTCATTCGCGCATGATGATAAAATGGCCCAACTTTTGAGAGAGCGAAACGTCACAGATTACCCGGCATGCCTGAGAAGTACCCGTATGTGCGCTCATAGCGCATGCGCAACTTTAACCATGCCCCCCAAAATGCTCGTTCACATCAAGCACGTCAATTTGCGTACACGTAACAGCACCGCACGTTCATGACAGCATGGTAATGGTTTGTTATGATAGATTTGATATTAACGAGGCGGCAGTTAGCAGCTAGCGGTTAGCTAGTAATTATGCTAATTTACACATCAATCGTTATGTACTTTTATATTACGCTGTAACAGGATCTAGTGATATCCAAGCAACAGAGCTTCATTTCGCATGAAAGAATTATTGCACTGTATGTATATATGTATATATATATATACAGTGCAATAAGCTTCTTAGTGCAATAAGAAGCTACAGGGACGTTAATCTACGTCGGTAATATTAACTTTATTTAATACAACATTTACGGTACAAGATTTAATCATACAGCCCATGTAGTATAATATTTTACAAATGATGAATTACAGCAAACATGTGCAATATATCCATTATTACAGCTCCGTGGGCTGGCAGTAAGGCGATATGGGTCCGTTCTTATTGTACATCCATGGGTAAAGATAAACACATGTAGTGCTGAACACGTAACATGAACGTGCCGGGCGGCGCGGTCCCGTGGGTTAGATGTGCGTTCATAATGCAGAGGGAAATAACTCGCAGAATAACGTTATTAGCACATTTTTACAACTTGAGGAACGAATGTTTTTAATAAGGGCTATACAAGTGTTCATACTGGGTAGTTTATTTAGTTTAAAAAAAATTATCCAACGATTTACAGACCACTCTTTCCCCATGTAAGTCAATGGGAAAAAGTGTTTCCGGGCCTGGCAACCAAAAGGAAGTGTAGTACCGCCGTTTGGCCAGCACGAATATTTTCATCTGAGTCCGGCGCACTTCCTGGGGGCTTGATGTGGGCAGGTGGTGGACCTAACCTCCTCTGCGGGGGTCCGGGGGCATGCTCCACCGGGAAGATTTTTTTTTAAATGTTGAAGTTAAAAGCATCAATCTGGTGCACTTTGAGAGCAAAATGAAGAGATCTATGGATACATCTCAACACCCATATGAAACAGAACTGTAAACAGATTTACTTTTTGATATTTTACAAATCACTCCCCGAGCTACTATTCCTGAAAAGTTCGGTTTTAACATCAGAACTACAAGTTATTTACACAAAGAAGCTAAACCGGAGGGTTCATTAACATTACCATTACGAAATGAAATAATATAGATTAGTTTAGGGCTAACTAGAAAATGATACCAGAACTGATGGAGGGCAAATTAAAACACGTCTGACCTGCTTGGAGCATCAACGCTAACTGAAGCTGGACTCGGACGTGCGACAGCGAAATACACCCCCGGGTACAAAATAAAGGTATGCATAAACAAACAAAGGCATTCAAGTATACAAATAGCCAAAATAAAAAAGTGATATAAGTTAGGCTATACATATAATATTATATGGTGAATTCGGCCCTGCTTCACATTATCCCATAATACAATAATAATATGAGTGTATAAATACATACATACATTTACATACACTTTCACACCAAAGGTCCATGGCTAATAAATAAAATAAGATATTAAAAATACAAATAAATACATACAATTCAAAATGTAGCCTTACAAGCTAACGAAATCAAACACACATATTTTAAATGTGAAAAATAATGAATAATTGATAGAATTAGTTCTTGTTGAGACATCTCGTGGAAATACTTCTTAGGAAGATGCATCAAAAACTCCAGAACAAATAGATCTTTCGATTATATAGATTTGTAGATTTTTGCTAAAAGTTCTAATACTCTTGGGCCTATTTGTCAGAAAAGACCGTTTCTATATGGACTCCACAGCATTAAAGGACACGTATGACGACTTAAATGGCATCAAATCTGTCACGTTAAAGGTAGGGTAGGTAAGTTTGAGAAACCAGCTCGAGATCGCTAGAATTTGAAAATACACAACCGGAGAAAATCTGCCACTTCCTCACAGAGCCCCTCCTCCAACAGACACGAACGCGCACATGACCAATGAGGGCACGAGATAAGTTTGTGCACAGATGGAAGGCTGACAGGCAGGTAGGCCATCCAGTTATTTTAGCCGGGCCGGCTCAGATGATTGGTCGTACTTTTTACAGTACTACAGCTTCCACAGATGATATTTTTTTATGGATGTTTTGTCAAAGCACTTCAGATATTCATTGCTATCGGGATGTTAAGAGCATTCCATGGAATATAACAAAAAGTGTATCTC